TTTTTTTTTTTTTTTTGGAGAATCGGGAGATGTACGCCAAGGAGCAGATCGCGAAATGCACGAGGCGCATCAAGAGACAGCGGATCGGCCGGCCTGGCGCTCCTGTTGCCGTACCTGGCGTCTCAACTCCCTCTTTTGCTCGTCGTCCTCCCGCTTCCTCTTCTGCGCACCTTCTTTTTCCACCTCGGCGTTTGTGGGTGGCCGGACGATGCCATCTCTTGTCAGCTCGCCCGGCTCAGGTATCTCACCTCCGTCATACCTTCGCGCAAAGGCAGCTCGCAGGGCTGCATACTTTCTGTCCGGTTTGATGCGCTCTTCGAGAACCTTTTGGAAAATTAGGGCTGAGGCAGCTTTGACAGGATCTTCGGCGTTGGATCTTGAGAGCTCTGAGCCACTGGGAGAGTACTTTTTGCCTCCTGCGTGATTCGCATAGCGTCGCGCGCGAGTCAAGCCCATCTGCACAATGGGTCACTTACGCTCAGTCAGAGTGCCATGGTGCATGCAACAGGTTGCTCAAGCTCTTGGGCGACGCTTACCTGGATGTATTTGCGCGCCATGTCGCCTGTGCGAGCAAGAGGTGATGCGATGGCCAATTTGAGCAATGCTTTGCGACGCTTGTACGTGTGTACACGCCGCACACTGCACTCACACCCCACAAAGTCATCCTCTCCCTTGTACTTTTCAAACATGTCCAAAAGGTCCTTTGAGCTCCGTTTAGCTGTCTCTTCGTCCTTGAAAGCCCAGAGCGGTAGGAGCTCGGATTTGTACGGCTCAATCTGAAGAACGCCCTGCTCGCCACGCGCTGGTCTGTACAGCCATGGATTCTTGCGAACGTCGATTCGGGACCATGGAAGATCGGGAAGACGAGATAGCGGGAACGAGGTCGCCTTTGCCTTTGAAGTTGTGGTAGCAGAAGAATCGCTCGCTGTGGGGATTTTGCTTGCAGAGGCTTCTTGCACTGTGGTCGGCGCAGCCGTTTGAAGCCTGGTAGAGCGTCGACTTTGAGCCGGCATACTGTGCGCAACTGATGAAATGTTACAGTGATGCTAGGGAGAGAGAAGGAAAGCCTGAAGATGCACTCTTGACATTCGAAGCTGTGGTTGTATGCTCTCGTCCAGAGCGGCAGTCGGCAACAAGCCGCTTCGAGTGAGCTTGATTGAACGATGGAGCTTCGCTTGAATACAGACGGCAGCACAGATTTAGAGGGCTGGAGAGTGAAGGAATGATGGGCAGCCCGAAGCGCCTCTCTCTAGCAACAGCCTCATCAGACGAAGTGTTCAAGAATCAGAATAGGCACGCAGGCACGATCAGTCACGATTCACGACGTGAATATCGTGAATGATCTTGATGCAAGCTGATCGCCTAATTGGTTAGGCCCTAGTCAATCACACAATCTGAATGAGGAGTGGAGGCAGCCCAACGCGCACGTGATTGCATTCCCCCCGCCCGCGCGTGGTGCTCCGCTCCGCTCGGCCCGGTAGAGTCAGAAGGATGGATGGATGGACGACGAGGGGTGAAAGCGTGAAATCGCGAACCACGTTGGTGGAGCGGGCGCACATCTCACCGACGGAATGCCGGCCTCTACCTTGCTCTACCCCACCACCTTCTGCAGCTCAAGAGTGAAAGCTCTGCTGTTCGATTCCGTCACTCTCAGCTTTCCCACGACACACACTACGGCTGAGACCCGGCACTCATGCAGACTCTGCAACCCACCACTTCAGCGTTGCGTTCCAAAGAGCATGGCTTGCGCTCGCTCTCCTCATCCATCTCTTCCTTGCCCGGCGCGCCGCTCTCCCCGAATTCGTCCACTGTCCTGCTACCGCGGGATCTTCACAATGCCTCCGACTCGGCCCAAGCGCTCTACTCTCGAGCAGCGAGAGCTTTCTTGCAGCGCAGCCACGCCAGTGCTCTCTTGACCAGCCAAGCTGCTCTGGACCTGCTCAACCAAGGTACAGAGTCGCCGCGAGATGCAGAATTGACACAAGTATTGGAAAGGCTGTTGATCTTGCGATTGACAATCTTTGCCACACTGTATGAGCCGCGCAATCCTTCTGGCGCTCCCATCCTCGAGGCATTAAAAAGGCAGTCCTCTCAAGCCTCGCAACAGCTCCAACATCGACTTGGCTTGCCTGTGGAAGACTTTCTGCTAGAGCTGTGGAAGGAGCCGCTGGAGGCATACCATCCTGATTTGATCTCGCACTGGAGCCAGCTCGACTCTTTGGACCCTTCGCCTAGCACGCTGCGCTCCCCCCTCGACCTGCCGGGGGGTTTGGTTGCTGCTGCCATCATGAGCGCACTGCGGGTGGATGGCGCTCATACAGATAGCGAACCCAGCGCGAATTCCAACAGGGTCATTTCGCGCAAAGAGACGGCCTCCAGAAATGCGGCTTCGCTCTCGGGTCTGAAAGCAGCCAGATCGATCTGCGAATGGGTTCTGGCTGCCCACTCTGCTCCCCTGCTAGGGGACGAGCAAAGTGGTATGAGCGTCAAGGCTCTCCAAGCGAGACAGGAACAACACGACCGCGTTCTGGAACTGTACACCCTGCATGTACTCGGAGCCAGAGCGGGAGAATGGGACTACGCTGAACAGCTTATCAGCTTGTCTGGTGGCGAAGATTCGCAGAGCAAAGAGGTGAGCCAGCTGGAAAGTGAAGCTCTGATCAGGTCGGAGATCTGGACTTGCCAGCATATATTTGCTCTCGGAGCTGACGATGCTGATCCGATGCTGTCTCGACGGGGATTAGGCACTGCTGCACCGGCTCTATGCGGCCAAAGACCACATAGCTTCTCGCCCGGAGCGCAGACGGATCGCGTCAGAAGCAGCGACACGAGCATACGAAGCGGAAAAGGCGCGCCGAGCTTCAGAGTCGAAGGCTGTTGCTGCTACAGGAGCCACTGCTGCCGCTGCCTCTATGCCCTCATCCGCTAGTGCATCCTCCAGCAGGGCTCGGCCGGAGAGAGCTGCCGACGAAGGCGAAGGCAAAAGGAGGTTCAGGCGCCTAAGTAGCTCATCTGGGGCCAGCGCGCGCTCTTCTGCTGCCGAGGCGGACGTCGAACGTCCATCAGAACGGCGACCTCAGCCACAGCGGTCCGCATCGTCCCAAGACGGTTCGAGCAGGGCTGAGCAGAAAGCAGCGGCGAAGCCATCCTCCTCCTCCGACTTTGCAGCTCGACGATCATCTGTGAGAGACTATCTCGCGCGTGGTCACGAGCGGGTTTCGACGTTGAATCGCTCCAGATCTCTGTCGAGCTCGCAATCCACGAACCCTCAAACAAGCATCCTACAGCTCTTCAACCGCTTTGCACAGATGCTAAAGACTCATCCGATGGCTGCTGTTCGATGGGTAGGTGTCATCCTGGTGGCACTGAGCATACTTCGGAACGCTGCTGCGTATGCCACTTCGCTGCGAGGCGTCGGAGGGTCGGGCCATGCGAGAAGAATTGCGGGCAGCACGACCGAATCACAATCAGGAGGCGGCGGGAATAGCAGACCTGGATTGGTCCGATTGGCCGCTGCTAAGCTTTGGGATACCATGCGCATGTGAGTAACACTGTTCGCATCCGGCTGAGATTAGCGCTTCCAGCTGAAACACATCCCGATACTGATCACAGGGGCACACAAGTCACGTATTTGTAGGCTTGAGTCATGTACGATCACTCGATGATCTTGTGAGCTTGCTTTCTTCTTGTCAGCAAGGCCATATCTCCGCTTGTGCACGATCAACAGGCCGTGCATACAAATGCCTCCATTGAATAACAACGAAAGTTCACAGTATTTGCGTCTCTCCACTCATCAATAATCAACTTTGCCACGGTGAGCTGCGACGGCTGCTCTGATGTCAGCGAGAGCCGATTGTGACTTGTTGAAATATTGTGTTGGTAGCTCGTGGTGCCAGTCGAGAGTTGCGATCGTGAGTGAGGTGCCGACTCAAGATGAAACTATGGGCCTGCTCCCCGCGCCCGCACCCGCACACCGAGCGGGTTGCCCCTGCGTGCGCGCGTGTGTGGAGGAGTCACGGTCTGTATAGCGAGCGTATGGGCACGCAGACTTGCCTGCATGTTGGACCGGTACGGTGTGTTGCTGCGCGCTTATCGCTTGCTTCACTCCCACGCTCACAATTCGACTCACCATCACCCACCGTCGAGTACCTCTGCCTTGAGCCTCTTTGGGCGCATTACACTCGTTTGAACGAGCAATTCTGGCCTCATTCATGTCACACTAAGCTTGGTGCACAAGCCGCTCCATCCAAGCTCCGCGTAGGACATACCCTGGCCTCCTTTCCCATCATGCGATCCCCCTGCTTCACCATTCCACTCCTGCTCGCTTCCGCCGCGCTCATCTCGACTGTCCGACGCATCGAAGCTCAACTCTTGCCAACTCTTGATACCAGATCGGACGGTCACTTCAACTGTCACTTGTCCCTCTCAGATGCATCTGGCCAGTCGAACAAGTACGATCTGACCCTCTTGCCCTCGCCCATTCAAATCGTTAGCGAGACCGCCACACCTCCATCCACCACGCTCACAGAAATAGCTCTGAGTCTATGCCATCCTCTACCTGACCATTTGAGCGACAGACGGAGAAGGAGCTCTGCTGAGAATCATTGTGGACCAGATACAAGGGTCTGCACCAAAGTGTCCAACGTGCTAGATGGAAATCTGAGAGTGACCAACATTCTGTCTAGCGCTGGATCGGTCGGAAGAGCGGCAGAGGTGGAGTGGAGCGCACAGCTGGGACACGAGCTCAGTATCGGTAGCGGTAAAGATGTGGAGAGGAGCGTGATGCTGTCTCTAGCAGGTCAGATGTATGCGGGCGTCAAGCAACACACTCACATTGAGTTCTTTTGCGATCCCGATGCTGAACCGGTAAGTCGAGATCCGCACACGAGCTTGTCTGTCACGCCCTCCAACTTACAGCCGCCCTGATCACCATCTCTTGCTACATCTGCAGGAGAGTAAGCCAACGCTCAAATCTCTCGACGTTCAAGCTGGCAACCTCTCGCTCGCCTGGCACACTCCTTTTGCATGCGCTCATCGACCGCTTCCGGATCCGTTGCCAACCCCGCCGGACGAAGACAAGGGGCCGCAAGCACCTTCAGACAGGGACCCTGCATCAGATGAAGAGACAAAAGCCGGCTGGGGCTGGCTCACGTGGATCGTCGTTCTGGCTCTTCTCGGTGCGGTGGGCTGGCTTGCCGTTGGAACTTGGCACAACTACAATCAGGTAAGTTGTATCAGTGAGATCTGCGTTAGGCTGGATCGCCTGCTTATGATCGCGACCCCTCGCGTCGTGATCGCTCAGTATGGCGTTGTGCGTTTGCCCGGAGCCGCCACCGACCTGGCTCGAGAGGCGCCGTACCTGGTGAGTGTGCTCGATGTGCAGTGTCTCCTGGTACCTCATTCGATACTGATCGAGCAAACAACCCCTGCAGGTAAAAGAGTTCGCTCGACACGTTGCTGCTACGCTATCAAATCTTGGTTTGGGAAATCGCAACAGCGGGCGTGGAGGATACGAACCTGTATGAACGACCATTCCTGCAGACACAGGCCAGTGCCACACCTTCATCATTTGTAATAATATCAGATAGGCTTTCACTCGCGCGCATTCTATCAAAGTCCCTTGCGCATGCTCATGATACATCAGATTCCGAGGAGTAGACCCAGCATTATTTGTGGCAAAGGCTGATGCAGGTCAGAGGACCAGCATAAATTAGGCTGCTCGAGCGGGTCCGGCCCGCTTGACCAAGAGTTCCAGTCCGCCTTGCGGTTTCATCGTGATGGCCGAAGTCCTTTTGACAGTCTGTTCTGGATCCTTTTTGTGAAATTCGAAATTGGCAATCAGAGTGCACAGCAAAGCCTTGAGCTCATTCTCCGCCGTGACTCGACCAATGCAATGATGAGCGCCAGCGATAAAGGTCAAGATGCTAAACGTCTTGTTGTACTTTTCGCTCAGCTCGTCGAAGCGTTCAGGTCTGAATTCCAGCGCGTCTTGACCCCACACCTCTGGGTCCGTGTTGCACACCCAATTGGGAATGTAGATGAGCGTACCCTTGGGAATGAGAACGCCATCGATGGTCGAGGTCTTGCGAGCTTGTCGAGCCGTGTGAGGTACGGGCGGTCGAAGTCGCATGACTTCTTGGACCACATGGTTGAGGTACTTGAGGTGCTTGATGTCCTGATACTCGGGATTTGCACGACGAGAAATGAGTTCTTGACACTCCAGTCTAAGCTTATTCTGCACCCTTTGATTCTGCGCAAGTTCCCAAAGCGCCCAGGCCGCTCCTGAAGCGGTAGTCTCATGTCCTGCACCCAAAAATGTCAGCACTTGGTTCTGGATCATCTCTGCGTTCATGCGGTAGCTCGATTTTTCGTCCAGAGAGGCCTTGACCAACAAGCTGAAGACGTCGACCTTTCCTCCGCTAGCTTCGAACTCGTTGCCTCCAGCTTTTCGCAGAGCTTTGGCTTCGGCCAGCTTTTGATCTAGCATTTCTTGGCTGATCTGCTTGATGCGGGAGAGGTTCGTGCAAAAAGTGGCCACGCGACTCAACGCCCCGATGCCGAAGGGGAAGAGGTCGGCGATGCGCTGCAACAGTGGACCGGTCCAGGTCTGTTCCGTAGCCCACTTGGCAATCTTTGGTCCGCCAGGCAGGGTCAGGAACAGTATGATGACCGCCATATTCGCTCCTCCTTGCATATTGACGAGCGTCTCGAAGGATTTGCCAAGCGGTTCCTCTGGATTGTGCAGGTGGTCCGTCTGATAGCCGAAAGCAGTGTCGCAGATAATGTCGAGCAGACAATTGTTGATGCTTTGAGTCACCTCCATCACCACTCCCTCTCCTTCTCCTCTTGACCTCTCCGCCTCGTCAATCTTCTCCTTGAGGATGTCGACCAGGCCGTTGATGTGCTTGTAGTAAGCTTCGAACTGCGCTTCGACCCATTTGAAGGCGAAGGCGCCATTCATGAACCTTCTCATGTCTACGTGCTCTCTGTCCTCCAGCGTGAGCAGGCCATAGCCAGCTACGATACCAAGGAGCGATCTGACGAAGCTGGGTTTGGTGTAGTTGTAGGGATCTTCGATGAGCAACTGTCTGAGAGCATTGTAGTTGGTGAAGGAGACGCGTTCAGCTCCCATTAGGCCGCTGAATCGAATGCGCGGTCCGTACTTCATGTGCCAGCTTCTTTGAGGCACGCCAGTCTCTTCTCTGATGATGGTCATCGTCTGTCCAAAGAACCAATGACCGTACTCTGGGCCTGGCATGTGTCGGAGAGGGCTAAAGAAGCGCGCATACAGGCACCATCTGTATACAAAGTAGAAGATTACCGAGACGAGCAAGACGACGTACACGAGGACATATTGACGCAGATGACTGGCCGTTTTGGAGGTCAGGGCCAGCACAGTTGCGAAATGGGGAGCAGCCCAATCTGGCAAAGAAGACTTGACAGCCTGCAAAGCTGAAGAGATGCCGGCTGTCATGATGGCGTGGCGTGGCGTGGCGTGCCTAAGACTGCAGTCGATCTGCTGTGGCTAGGCCGGGCAAGGAGACCGCGGCCAAAGGCGTATTGTGAGACCGAAGGAAGAATCAGGTGGTCACGCGAGCTGCTGGCTGGCACAGATATGGGAGGGTTATGCAGAGGAGCAAATGTCTGGGATGAGCGATTCATAAAAGGGTGATTTTAAAGCGCGAGCGCGCACCACGAGTAGCAGCTATCGGCGGGTTTGCAGCTGCAAAATTCCCCGCACTCCACATTCGCTCGATCGGTCGTGGGTGTGCGCGGTGTTCAGCTTTCACAAACCATCTGCTGCTGCTGCTGCTGCTTGCATATGCTGCTGGTCTGCTCATGGTGGGACCGTAGCATCCACCATCTTCTGATATGCATCAGGGACACAATGACCCGCATCGACTCTGCTGCACCTTAATTGCCGATTGCGTTGCCTAAAGCTACACACACATTCACGATTTTTGCTGAGCACCTTCTCCACCTGTCTTGCTGCGCACCTTGCCGGCCAGACCTTGGCAGTCATCTCGGTGCCCGTCGAAGGTTTGAAGGGCCATCCATCTCGATGAGGCTGCGTAACAATCACTCGTTCAGCTTATTTACCAAGACCCACGAGGTGCACCTATACTCTCGACTCTAACCCTACCCCCGCGCAGCACCATGCAGCCCAAAAATAGACGATCCGCGCGTCGCGTCCCTCGTCATGCAATCGCAGGAACAGCTCAGCAGCCAGCAGCAGGAGCCGAGCAAGACGGAGCGAAGAAGCGAGCAAGGCGGGGAGGCGGGATAAACCTCGACCAGTCAGTCCGCCTACCCCAGCACGCGCCCTCGCGACCTACGGCGCCACCGTATGGCAGCTATACGGCTGGACAAAGCAGCGTGCGGCTCTCATCACGACGAGCGCCGCCTCGAGAACCTCTCTGTCACGCTCTGCGGACTGCCAAGGCGCAACAGTGACGCTTCATCCCGCCAGGCACGAGGTGTTGGACCACACCTACCACCTGCGGCAGCAAGGGCGCTTCTCGGTCCGTCGCGCAAGGCTCGGCAGGTCGAACGTCCCACCGTGCGGTACCCCGGATTGGTGGAACCGCCGTGTGGTGCGCGGAACACGCGTGGTGTAGTATTCACGTTTTAAAAAGCCACTTGTGACTTCGACTCTTCACCTGCTCCCCAACACAACGCCTCAGTCACCAGCTTGGCATGCAAACATGACGAGTGACATTTCGTAGTCAGCCTAGAACCGTCGGGATTGCGTGTTGAGAGGTGAGATTGTAGGACAAATCTTACCACCGGATCTTACCAGCCGGGGGAGTTGGATGAGTCAGGCATGTCGCATGACCACCAACTCTTGACCTTGCAATCGGCACGTCTAGGCGCGATCGAGCGTCGTCAGTCTTGTGTGTCAGACTATGAGCTCGTGGTGAGCCCCTTCCACACAATCTCGGCGCCCATTACACAATCTTGGCTTCAAACTCTACACAGTCGCGTTCCGTAGCTGAATGAGATTTCAGAGAGCGAGCCTTGGGCTTCCTTGGCTACGCTTGGCAAGACACGAATGGGTGGAGCACAGGCGTGCGCTGCTTTGTAGAGTGGGACGAACCGCGGGCGATCTCCACGGCTTGGAAACGGTTGGCCGCCATTAGTCATCGAAGTCGCCTGCAAAGGAAACATTTTCATGGTCAGCAGGTGATGACCTGGATGTCATGACTATTCTTTCCCAAAGCTGACTGCTTACCTGGATTTTCTGAGAAGACAAAGCGGATTGGAAAGGGGCAGCAGGTATTGAGCAGCTGCAAGCGTTCGAGCAAATCGTGGCAGCTCAGTGCAGGTGCGCTTACCAAAGTAGTACTGGACTGCTAGTTCAACGTTGCGATCGCACATTAAAAACACTTCAATGGCCCTGTCTTCTGGAATGCCCATTGCGCAAATCTGCAAGTAGACCGAAGAGGTCAGCGACATGGCAGCTGTACAGGTGACTTGCTTATACTTACCTGCTGTACCTTCTCTTGGTCTTCTGGACTGAGCTCATCCTGCGATTTCGAAGGACGATCGATGTGACTGTGTCACTAGGCTGCGGCAATGTCGACGGACGTAGTTGAGGCTGCCATCAGGTTGCAACACTTACCATGCCAACCTGTTCGTCATCGTCGCCAGCACCACCGCCTCCGGCCGCCAGAATGGAGAGCACGCCCTCAGGATCTTGAGCCATAGCCTCGGCCAATTGAGGGTTGCTCTGCGCAATCGCCTGCACCAAAGGTTGCAACGCGGCCGGATTTTGCTGAACCAATTGTCTCAATTGTTGAAGCATGGCGGGATTTGCAAGATCGATCACTTGACCGCCACGACCGTCCGACTCGCCTGGAAGTCCTCCCGGCGCGCCGCCAGCTCCCCGACCTGCGCCTCCTGCACCAGCAGCTCCACCACCTCTGCCACCTTGGGCCGCTGCAGCGGCTTGCTCGAACAAGTTGCCACCGCCAGCAGCAGGCTGGCGAGCTTGGGGCGCTGTTGCCACGGCCGCGCCGGCAGAAGGGGCTACGGTGGGTGGTTGCTGTTCACCCGTTGTGCTGGCCGTCTCGGCAGTCTGTCCAGCAGGAGTAGGAGGTGGTTCGGCTGCACCGGTGCTTGGAGCTTGGGTTGGCTGAGCCTGAGGCGGTGCTTGTTGTTGTCCAACATTTTCCGGGATACCCTGCACATCCATTCAAGCGTAAATGAATGCGCGCAATGCAATTTTAGACTTGACACTCACAGTCATTAGGTACTCTACTGCGCGATCAGGGTTATTGTACGAAGCGCGCAACGCCTTTTGCACCTCTGACCTGTCGAACCCCATCTCGGTGATATTTGTGATCGCGGCCTCGAGTGCAGCTCCCGAGACTTGAGCGAAAAAGATAGCACGCGACCGGTGTGAGTGATCAGGTGCTTGCGTCTACTGCGAGGAGACAGGATACTCACGGAAGGAAGAGCCGGGTCCAGTAGCAGTAGTAGAGGAAGTCTCAGATCCTGCCGCAGCGGCGGCCGCAGTGGACGGGTCGGAAGCCGTCGAGGTCGCGCCTTCGGAGGCTGAGGCAGTGGGCGGCGCTGCTGCGGAAGGAACAGAGGTGGTGAGGCCAGAGCTTGACGACTCCGAGCCAGCCGAAGCTGCGGGAGGCACAGCAGGGGTCTCTGCAGGCTTTGGAGCCTTTGGCTGCAGGGAGCATGTGCAAGCGTTCAGTAATGAGTGGTTGAATGCGGCCACCACCAAGCCAGCGAGTGCCATGAACTCTTGGCGGCAACCTCAATTGACCATCCCGGTACAGCGCTCGGCTTCCTCACCTTTGACACCATAACTACTAAGAAGTCTTTCTCCTTCATCTTGCATGACTCTACTGTCTGTCCGTCTGTCAGAATCTTGCCACTGTGAATCAACTTTTGCTGCTCCACCGCATGACCCTGCAAAGCTTGAATCTTTGACTTGATGGTGGCAATCTATGATGCGCGGATTGTCCTCATCAGCATGAGAGAACCAGAGGCATGCACAAAGAGACCGCACTCACTGTGTCCGAGGGCTCAGCATCCAACTGAAAGTTGGAGCCGCCTAGACTTTTGATCGTGAGCTTCATAGTGCACAAGAGGGCGTGCGAGAGCTGTCAAGTCTTCAATATCGGGCGTCTAAGCGCTTTGGAAATCCTGAGCGGTCACTAGAAGGTAGTGGCGTCTTCGAAGAAGCGAGCGCGAGATTCCTTACGACTACGGAGAGTGTGTGCGCAGTACTTCGTGGTGGTGACCAGGGCTACTCGAAATGCAGACCTGCGTGGCCTCAGCAATGGATGTGCTCGTTGGGCAGCATGCCAATGGTCAATGAAGTCATTAAATCTTTGTTGTGGTCCACGCGTCGTCGACATCGTTTGCGCACGGACGCGGATATCATACGACGGGCGCGCATGAAGTCGTCACCTCCACGCGCGCCACACATTCGTGGTTTCAGACCCCAACTGCAAGCCGCCGTGCTACGCCACGTGGCGCGCGCTCCGACCACCCTAGAACATAGCAGGCGCGTACACTCGTGAGTCGTGACTGTACGTGCATGAAGTCGAATTGATCGAGGTGCGGTCGCGCGGTAGCCACTCGTGACTAGCCTGTTCCCACTCGTGAGGTCGTGACTGAGTCGTGATTGCTGTGGTCGCATAGGAGCGATTGCAACTGCTACGACTCGTCCTATTGGTGATCACAACTACTATCATCTGAGATCACATTGCTGGATCCCTTTACGCTGAATAGGTTGTGAACACGACCTCCAGTGCGCCTGATCGCAAAGTCTACAAACCTGTAGGAGCGCGCAGGAGGCCCACCTTGTAGCATTGGTCACCTGAGCAAGCGTCTCCATACGCATACATTTCGTCAATATGGCAGCCAGAAAGCTTGCTGGTGAGGCTTCGAAGTTGACCGCTTTTGTGCAGCTCCATACTGACCATTCCCGACTGTCTACACTGCCATCGCCTCTTATTTTGGCACATTCGGATTGCAGCGGAGATTGACCGCACACTCAAAAAGGTGGCGGAAGGTGTGCAGGCATTCGAAGACTTGTATGACAAAATGCAAATGTCCACGAATCAAGGGCAAAAGGAGAAGATGGAGGCTGATCTAAAGACGCAGATCAAGAAGTTGCAAAGGATGAGAGACTCGATCAAGACTTGGTTGCAGAGCAATGATATCAAGGATAAAAAAGCACTGCTGGACAACAGGAAACTCATCGAGCTGGTAAGTGACGCCAGATACAGTCTCCGAGCTCGATTTGTGTGCAACACGTCGAGTTTTCTCGGTCGAGAAAGATGCGGACTGAATCTCGGCTCCGATCATTATATGCTCCAGCAAATGGAGAAGTTTAAGCAGTGCGAGAAAGAGATGAAGACCAAAGCTTTCTCAAAAGAAGGTCTCATAGCGGCGGCTCGTCTGGATCCCGCAGAAAGAGCCAAGCTCGAACTCACGCAGTGGTTGACCAACAATGTGGACGAGCTGTCACATCAAATGGAAGCTGCAGAGGCTGAGGTGGAGCAATTGGCAGGATCAGGCAAAAAGAAGAAAGGAGCGGGAGGCGTGGCAGCTGAGCGTTCTGCAGAGCTGGAAAGACTCAATGAGAGAAGGACATGGCACATCAGCAAGCTGGAGCTGATATTACGCTTGATAGAAAATGGCAACTTAGACACGGAACAGGTGTCGAACATCAAAGAAGACGTCGCCTACTTTGTCGAATCTAACGCGGTGAGTCATGGGGTAGTCATCGCAGGTCGTAGCTGTATGGGCATACAAACCTCATACTCTCAATTCTTTGCCTGACTAGGACGAGGATTTCGAAGAAGACGAGGGCATTTATGATGAGTTCAACCTTGACGAACAAGAGGAGGCCTTCGGACTCAAGGAGAATGAAGATGATGAAAGTGGCGATGACGACTCCGCCTCGGAAGGTGAGTCGGCTGGTGCGGTCGCGACCGGATGTTGCAGTCCGCTGAGCACCAAGTCTGTGTATTCCACAGAAGCGCCGCTTCCAAAACCTGCTGTCAAGCCCAAGAAGGAAGAGAAAGAGGAAGTGGTCAAGAAACCTTCGACCAGAAAAGCCTCGGATGTCAGTAGAGATAGCAAGCCGGCCGTGGTCACCAAAGCAGCACCAACTCCTGCGAGTGCTGCTGCGCCCCCGCATTCACCTGTCGCTACAGCTTCCATGACCTCTCCTCCAAAGCCAGCAGCAGCCCCTCTACCTCCGATTCGATATGCAGCCGCAGCCGCTGCTGCAGTCGCGCAATCGTCTGGTGGACCTGCTCCCACAGCGTCTCTCTCGCCGACAACTACAGCATCGCAGCTCCCAGATGGTTCTAGATCGCCGTCGTCTTCGAAAGCTGCATTGGAAGATGCAGCATCCTCGCCGGCTCCGTCCTTCGCTCCTTCCACCGACACAGCGCCTACTGCAGACGGAACTACTGCCAGTGCTACCACTGGTCCGCCCGGTCTGGCTGCGCGGCCTGCGAATGGATCCGCAAAGAGCTCTCCAGCTCCCAGGCACGCGACCGTCAAATCGGCGCCATCTCCTCTCGCGAGCACATCTGCTGCTCCAGGTGCCCCCGTCGAAGGCAACAGCGGCGGCACTCAAAGGAACGCATACACGGACGAGTCAGCTGTGCCGCAGGAGGAGACAAGTGAATATCAACCTGCACAACTGGCGGCGAGCTCTGCCGCTGCGAGTCTGGTCCAGCCTTCAGGCGGAGGAGCTGGCACCTCAAGCGAGCAGGCCGCTGCGCAGCGTGAGCACGGCACAGAGCCCAGGTTGCCGAACAGCTTGAGCGACCTGGTCACCAGTTTCGACGCCGCGAAACACAAGTCACTTGAGAGGGGAGATAACCTCGACGAACTCCACAAGACCCTCCAAGCAAGTGCGCTGGGTGTTCCCGAACCTCAGGACAGCGATGCGCCGCGATACTATCGACCCCAAAATCCCTGGGCGTCCCCTTCTTGGTACCCGCAGCAGCCTCTGAGCATCTTCGACAACCCGGCGCTGTACAGCAAAGTTGAAGACGACACTCTCTTCTTCGTTAGTCTTGCATTGGCAAGGCACGGCGCGAGCTCGCCTGTACGCTTGCTGACCTCGATTTCGCCCATGTCAGATTTTCTACTACTCGCAAAGGGAATACCATCGGTACCTTGCCGCCAACGAGCTCAAGCGCCAATCCTGGCGATTCGTGAGTCCACCAACGTCAAAGATGTCTTCTCAGAAGATCTATCCCTGACTCGCAGACGGTTTTGGTACGGCAGTCGCTGCGCTTTGGCACATGGTTCCAAAGGTATGCTCAGCCCAAGGTTGTTCACGATGACTACGAGGAAGGGTCCTAGTGCGTGACAAGAAGCGTTGAGCAGGCTTCTTTGACTTCAACTTACGTGTCTCACGATGCCTCATCTCAGCATCTATTTCGACTTTGAGAATTCATGGCAGCAAAGGAGAAAGCAGACATTCCGGTGAGCCCGTTCTTGAATGCGTTCAAGCAGCTGGTCATGCGACTCATCGCGATCTCCCATCTATTCTGGCGAGCACAGATTCGAGTACCAGTACCTGTGAATATTGTTCAACCATTAGGGATTTGCAGACTTCAAGCTGACGCCACATTTTCATGTCACTTCTGCCTCGCAGGGCTCCGTGAGATTCTAGCGCAGAGATGACATCTGTATTCTATGCTTCACGTGCCACCTGACCCGACAACGTGGTCACGAAATTCACAACAAAGATGCCTGCATCACAGCGGCTCTTTGAACGATTGCCCAAGATCTCACCTGTCGGCCCGCGCAGCCCCTGCACCCTTGCTGATCGCCTGCCGCCGCCTTCGCATAGCATGTGTTCTGGACTGACTCGTGCTGGACGACGCGCTGGCGTTGCCAGACATCCTCGTCCTATATCTTTCCTTGAACTTGTTCAAAGATTTCATCTTCGCCACTTTCTTCCGTTGATGTCTACTCATGAGAGGGTTGGAGGGATCAATCGTTCGCAGTCGAGGCGTGACGGAGGTCGAGGCGGGCTCTACTGCGCGAGCTGCACCTGAAGCAGCGTGCGCTGAAGCAGGAGCTTTGTTCCTAGAGGCGAGCCAGTCTCGTCTGCCAGCGCCTCGGGCAGGTCTAGCTGAAGTGGCGACGCCAGCTTGTTCAGCCTGTTGCAGCTCGGCAAAGTGCCGATCTACCATCGCGTTGATGCGTCGGATAGGATCACTTCGCTCCTGCAGCTCGACTTTCAAGACTTGCGCTTGAAGAGCAGTGATCGGCAGCTGCTGATGACCCTGGACAGTGCCGACGCTGTCGGCTCCCTCGAAGTTCAGAGTGGGCACCTCGTCGCACCCCATGTCCAACTCTCCACAATCTCTGCCCATTTTGCCCTCCCGCCATCGCTGTAGCATAAAGGTTGCTGTGGCGTCAAGATCGCGCTCGCCCCCTTTGCTCATCGTGCCCGGTGCTCTTGCTGCTACCGCATACAGCAGCTCTTCGATAGAGTTCGTAGGGCCAAGTGGAGGCTGATCTGGCCCGGAAAAAGCGGGGAGTGGCAGCTGCGACAAGTAGACCGGCAATGGTGCCTCTGAAGGAGCAAATGAAGTGGGGGGAGCAAACGATAGTGGGGCGCTGATCAGCTCAAGACGCGTGACGAGGGACCACAAAAGCTTTGCGTTCTCACTTGCACTAGTGACAGGCAAAGTTGTGCTTGCTTGATGCTGAGCAAAAGCAAACTTCAAGTTGAAGCGGAAAAGTAGATAGTCCACCAGACCTCGCGTATCGAAAAGTGAGCTCTTCATTCCATTGGCCACGGCAAGCTTGATCCCTTTCTCAGCGCCAGCGACACCTTTGCCAAGGTACGGAACCATGATTCCTGGGGTATCATAGACGTATATTGGCACTTGCTCAGGTCGCTTGTCGGCAGCATGTTGATGAAGCTCGCTTGCGCCTTCAGTACCGTCTCCTCCCAACGTAAACAGGCCCTTGGCGCCGGCCTCTTGCGTCTCTGCTTCTGGTCTGCGAAGAGATGATTGACCTGCCTTTGTTATGCGCACCGTGCCAGTCAATTTGCGCGTATGGCCTGGCTCTGGCGCTGTGGACGCCGCTTTGCCTTTTTGCGTCACACGGTCACGTCAGCTTAAATGAAAGGCAGATATGCATGCAGCATCACAAAAGTCTGGCTCTCACCCTTGCCGGTGCCCACTCGGCGCAAAGCGTTCAGCAAGCTGCTCTTGCCCACATTGGGACTTCCGACTATGACAAGCCTGGCTCCATTCTCGGGTGTAGGCGTGTGCCTGAAGGCTCCTGACAGGTGCTTCCCTTTCGGCTTGCTGGATGATTGCAATGCGTCGTCACCAAAGTCGGAGACCAGAGCGGCTCTAGCTGTGACTCGCCAGTCAACAAAAGATTAGCTTCGCTCGTGTACCCCGCCCCTGCAACTCTGCTTCCGCCTGCACGCACCATGCACCCATGACAGAATCATCCGCACGTCCCCGTCGACCCTCGTATCAACGAAGAGGACTTCTTCGCCGTGTCGCGCGAACGCTTGGCGAATGGGCTGCATACAAGGACCGACAGATCAGTGGAAGCCCTCAGCCATCCCTCACGACATGACGGTCAAGACGACATCGTGACGTACTTCTTGCAGCTCAGATGCTATCAAATCCTTCTTGGCGTACACAACCAGCCTTCTTTGCCGCCAGTTGCGGCGCATCGCAAGACCCTCGAGGGATTGATTGGGTCCGACAAAGCCTCCTTGAGGTTCATCTTGAGCGCCTTCGGCATCTGCAGGTTCGACTTCCTTGCCTTTCCCCTTGTTCTGCCTGCTCTTGGCGTTGCTGTTTCTCCTGAGCATGCGCTCAAAAGCAGGGTTCACGCTACTTAGGGGCAGACGAGCATCACGCACTTCGATGATGAGAGGCGGTGGCGATCGATTGAGCAGAGATGGCAAAGATCTCATTGCCCTGTACATGTGTCCCGCGTACCATGATGGAATCGAAGTAGGAAATGGAAAAGTGAGGCGCGGTGCGAACGCCTTTCGCCCTGAATGCAGATCTGAGCTGGCAGTCTGCTGGCTGCTACGGACTGAGCTCGGGATACGTTTCACTGCATCCTCTGCCGGCGTGGCGCTGGTGGACGCGGCATTGAGCTGCGCTCTATGGGTGAGGCCTGCTGCGCTGCTCAAGATACTACTATCCCTTGGCGTAGCTGAGGCAAAACGACTGGAGTGCAGGCTTTTCTGCGAGAGGCGAGGTAGCTCCTTCTCCGCCCGTCTGAGCACGGCACGCAGAGTCGAGTAGTGAAGCATAGAGTCGAGGGCAAGCTAGGAGGCAAGAGGAGAAGAGCTGAGCGATTGCGCCGAGGGCTTTGTGGTGAATGTGATGGAATGCACATCGGTCTGGCTCTCTTGAGCAATATCGACTCAACTTCCTCGCCTTCCCTTTGCTGCCAGCCAAAAGTCGCATCAAGATGGAAATCGTCTTGATCTCGTGTTGCACGGAGGGGTACATGCGAAGAACCCTGATTTCACGTGATCGCCCTCTGATACAGTGTACATCATCCAACATGCGGATGCGGGCCAAGCGGGGTGTTCCCACGCTCCTTCGTGAGGATTCGGCTCCGATAAGCGGCTACCAAGAGGCCAGTCACCAACCAGTCTTGAGTCGTGAGTGCACAATTCAAAAAAGTGTGAGTTGTAGCGGAACGCGTGGGCGGCATACAAAGCAGTCATTCGTGATTGGCCAGTTGTCAGTGCCCATCAGGTGTGAGCGCAAGGATCCGAGTCACACTCAAGACTGTGGCGAAGGACATGATTCAATCGAGTGCCCAAAAGGCACACATGCGGTCCCGACTTTGGTGGCCAATCTCCTCTACATCAGAATCAATTGGCGCCTACGCTGTCCGTCTATGGATCGATACAGACCGACAGTCACAGGATGGACTGTGAGAGAGCGGGCTTGCGCTTCTGGCGTTCATTTCAGACGCGCTGCTCACCACGCCGCGAATGCTGGATTCACGAAATAGCCTTTTGCTTCTTCGCAAGCCTGCGAGGGAAAAGACGAAGCATAAGCCATGTGAAACAGAGAATCCGATCAATCAAGCATGTCCTGCCGTGTTGCGCACTTGTTTGAAAGTCAACATGGCGCTCACAGCTCTCCACGTGCTAACCTCGTCTCCTTGAAAGACATCATTCACATCCGCTGTCCTTCGAACAGCACTCAGCTCTGCACCCGGTCCTGCATCCACCCAGCACGTCCCCGTCTTGAATGGAAATCGCTCCCGCCAGGCTTGAGGTGCCGCTTCGTCCTCCGGCGGCACTGCCGGAGTCCCATCGCAGCCCAGTGCGAGCTTCCTAGCGCTACTCGTCAGATGTAGCGATGTGCAGGCAGAGTCGCATTGGCCAAGCAGCACGTCCTTGCCTGAAGGTGAGCAGAGTAAGATGACGTATGCACACCCAGATCGGAATCTTCACTGCCCAGGGAAAGACTCACGAGCTTGCTTAGGGGATCGAAGCCTAGCTTGCATTGCCTCTCGCTTGCCTTTGAGCTTCAGCGCGTAAAACCAAAGCTGGCCTTTGTGCCAACAGTGATCATTCGGATCGCGACGCTGGAGTCGTTGCTGTCCAAGGACCTGTGATCAGCAAGAAATGCTTTGACATTGACTGGCTCGACTCACCTGCTCGGCTCGTCGTAGATGGTGGCCTGGCTTGGTCCCTAAACTCGGATGTGCGAGTAGCAGTAACAGCACGAGTGCCGAAGTAGCCATCATGATGAGACTTAGAAACGAGGCGCGTCCTTTACCATAGCTGCCCGACATCGCTGCCGCCGTATGCTTAGCGTGGTGTACTAATGACTGCGTCTCTTTGCTGCAATCTGGGCAGATGACCATCTATCCTGCATCTTCCAGGATGCCTAGTGATGTGAGGCTTCTAGCTAGCAAGTGGTGTGAGCTGCTAGATAGCCGCGGTGATACTCGATGTTTCGCTGCTAGCCCTATCTTGGTCTCGTGCCCAGGGACTCAAGTCGACTTCGTGGTGCAAGACGCCGTCATGACTTAAACTGCGTGATCCTCAAGTCACCGCTTTCCCTGGCGAGGGACACGGCATGACGACCGCCATCATGTGCGCAATCCCCAGCAAAGGGACTCTGAAAATACAATCTGTCGGCATTCAGCAGCCGAGGCCGTCCATACCGTCCGTCCGAGACTTGCTATTTACTGTCTACGGAAGACATCCACGCATTGGCCTCAAGCCGAAGTGCATCTTATAGCCCAGATGTATGCAGACGTTGCGGCGTCTTGATTAAGCTCGACAGAGCAACATAGGCGTGAGGCTCGCCGTGGCGGTGCATGAGTGAGGCACCTAATTCAGGGTCGTGACTGTGTGACTCCTTGCCGCGCGCGTGAGGGACTGTTGCAGGCTCAACGGCATGGTGTTGAGAAAGCCAGCATCAGCAGTGAGGCACAATGCCCGCGATGCATCAGCCTATCATGTCTCATCGATGATGCTTGCCAGCGTGCACGAGTTGTGAGTCATGGGCCATCGATCTTGAGCCGTCCGAGGTGGTTGCCAGCTCAAGAAAATTGTGCAAGGCGAGTGTGACAAGCTGAGCATGGATTTAGGCAGCTCAAGGTACCGATACACCATTCTCATCCAAGATTCTATCCACGAGAATTCACAAAGACGAGTCACGAAGCAGCTCACTCGCGTGGTTATCAATCGTGAATATTTCGAAGGATTGGATTCCTCCGGCGCGCGCCCTGCAAGCGCGCTTGTGCAGCAGCAGTCACGCGAGATCGAGGCCGCGGCGCGTCCGCGCAGTGATTCGAACGCGTGAGCTCTACCGCGCAGACGCGTGTTGATGCTGCGACAGTGTTTCAGGTGTAGACGCTGTGATCACTTCGAGGACTTTTCGAAAGACCACGCTTTCACCGTCAACAAGTGTCACGTCACGAGTCGCTGGCCGTGCCTGCAGCAGATGTTGGAAGACTTTTCGGTCTGATGTCTGCAAGATCTTTTTTTCGGAGCCGTTTCTCGGTATTTTGCCCCGCGCTTCCGATGCAGTGCGGAGGTGCCCTGCTGCTGGGTGCTGCTGTATGCTGGATGCTCGCGATGGAGTTGCTTGCACTCATGACAATAGGACTGAACCTGCTGCTGCTGCTGCTCTGCGCGTGCTGCGAAAGCTGCGAAAGCCCGCGCCAGCGAGCTCCGACTCGCACTTTGAGCAGCAGCTAGACCAGCAGCTCCGCCAGCGCTAGCCAAGCAGATAGGTCCTGAGCTTCGGAACCGTGGCCGACGTCTGCATGTGACGATCTTCAAGTTCTACTTTCCTACGTGCAGCACGCTCTGCGTGAGTGCTGTGGGCAGCAGAGGTACATACGGGTAGAGCTGATGTCCTATTCAATCTTCTGCTCTCCTACGGTCCGGCTCGCCTATGCCGCCCTGATTGGCACGACGACTTGTTGCTGCGCAGCGCTGATGCTGCTCCTCTGGATGGCTGGGCTAGTTTCTGCAGCATCAACACCCTTGGCTATAGGCGCGAAGCTTGCAGAAGGTGACCCTTTGCTGGCGTGTGCGATCGAACGAGCTCGGTGCGAAAGAAGCAAGTCGAGTGGCTCGTCCACATTGACTGCCTAGGACGTTCCCAGCTCAACCTCGATCGCATTCACAATACCTCTACGCGCTTTCAATTGAAACCCACCATCATCACAAACGTCTAAGTGAGCATGCTTTCGGCCTCTATACCAAGCGCCCCTCCAACATCCGGTCGCAATTAGTGTCAGCAAGCCCTGCTATATGGCAATCAAGAATAATAAGGTCTATAGTGACCTTAATCGAAGAATGCATGGTTCAGCCAGAGCAACTCCCTTATCGCCGAGTCATCACTCACCTGTAGTTTGGCCCGACTTCGTCTTTAATCTGACGTCTCTAGCTGCGAAGCATACCACGGCGCCTCAGGATGAGGCAATCTAGCAACCGTCGCACGGGACGGTGTCACCATGCGACTCCCTGTTGAATGGATGGAAAAAGTTGCTCTGAATCCAGACGGCTCCACGGAGGCTCGCATCATTCGCTAATCGCTAATACTACGATGTGAGTGCCTTGCCTGTCTTCGTATCTTCAAGTCGGGTCAGATGTCCCGGGGGTCCGCACTCATGGTGCAATCTGAGTCATGCTTGGTTCGCCCGGTAAATGGCGGTTGCAGCTCTATCCATATAGGTAGTTAAGCAATTCGAGCCGTCTTCCGGGGCGTATCTGGATGCATGTTGGGGTACGTGGGCTATAGCTGCGAGAGTCAGCTGACTATGGCCTGCAGAGGATATACCCTGGGGCCAAGACTTGCTTTAGTCCTTCGCATTTTACGCTTGAAACTTATGAATCGTGCTCCAGCATGTTGAAGCAGCATCCGCAAGCCCTTGCTACACGTGCTACGTGTGCTACATGTGCTGCTGCACGGGCGAGTAAGGCTGACGCCCATGCATACATCCAGAAACCTTAATTCGCAGCTGCATACCCGAGCTGGACCTCATGCACTCACCCATGAAGTCGTTGCTTCGATAACATCTCAGAGGACAATCGTAGCCTAGCAGATGCACAACACCGAGCTGGTTTCGCCGTTCAGCATGACTGAGCTGGTTGGTCTGGAGATCGAAGTATCGACGATGATAACCTGAAACCGCAACGCGCCGAAGTCGTATCCAACGCCATGCAAGGTGGCGTTTAAGTTGGTCGCATATTGAGCATGCCATACATTGCGCAAGACTACCGGACAGCTTGGTACTCACCTGTTGTGGACTACTCTGTCGAAGTGCAGTTCTACTTTCCAGCAGCGGCATTCGCTCCCACTCCCTCATGGGGGTCGTTCAACGGCTGTCAAGCGCAATTCTGACCTGGACAATTTGGAGTCAACTGTTGCAAGTAATCAAGATTTTCTGAGCTAGGACGAAGCGTTTAATTCGCACGCGCCCTGCCACCAACATCCCGAGCTAAATGCTGTGTAATTAATGCGCGACGAGCGCTGACTGACTGGCAAACTTTAATTTGTGGCGCAATATCTGTCGGCAAGACAAAGAGGACCGTCAGATCATGTGCGCAGCATTTGCGGCCCTCGATCGCGCCTGCTTGTCCAGTCCATATACCTGCCGAAGAGACTAGGGAAAGGCCGCGCTGCTGGCCCTATACTACACTACTCTGGTGGCGAGCATGATGCAACAACCCACCCGGAGCCGCAAGCCGTGGCCATCAAGCCTCTCACATATACTACTACTTTGCGAACGTGGACAGACCCCGCCGAACGAGCAATGAGCTCGGCGCTATCGGCGCCGCCAATTGCAAGAGAAGAGCGCTTTTCGCGTGGCTGGAGCTTTTCCTTGATGTGTAGTTGGAAAGGTCATCCAGATGGAAATGGTGTGTGCGCAGCCAGAGCGCCACACAATGATCACAACAGAAGGAGGTTCCGCCGAGCTAGGTTCTGCTTGCAAGAATGCTGCATGCTGGGGCACCGGATGGTATGAAGCGCCAGCTTTGCCGTGTCAGATGGGAGATTCCCGGTACTCAAGCATGAATTCGCCTATAGCTGCGCTTGTGACTGCCGCTGCATCATGGACAACATTGCGCCTGACTTGCACTCACCTTTTCCAGCGCGAGGGCCGACTGGGCAGCTCTAATTTGTTCCAGCACTACACTGCCTCTTGCTCTGCTCAGGGACATACAGATTCGCGAGTCTGATGGCTCTCATGTTGCTTACCGCGTGCTGGTCCTGCATGGCCTTGGTCGCTGCTGCTGGACTGGCGAAGTATGTGCAAAGATGCATGCCCATCACGCGTCCTCATGACCGATCGGGAGAGCAGTGCACGGAGGCGAATCAGCCGCAGGAGCACCGCTTTACAGTAGTCATGCTGTGAGTATACTCACGACGGTGCTTCCACAACCGCGGCTCCCTAACGCCTTTCATCAGCCGCATCTCGCGTCATCGCAGGTAGCTTCAGCCCAGCAACTCACGAGTCGTAAATCGTGAGTACGAATCACGAATCAAAATCCGTCCACTCTGATCCAAGGTTTGCTTCTGCTGAAAGCGACGCATCGTTGCGCAAGGCCCCTGCCGAAGCAGGCGCAGCAGCTCCCCCATGGCGAACTGGGGTACTCCGGCGCGACAGCAGTCGGCATTCTGCCCTGCCTGTTCAGGTCCGTGCTGTGACTTACGACTCCAGCTAGCCGCGTCACGCCCGCACCGTGAGCAACCATCGACGGGGCCAACACGTCGAGCAAGCCGTTTCAGTGACAAGTGCGGTCTCCCTACAACAGGCAGAACTGCTCTGCACCTCGCGACTGGCGACTTGTAGTTGTGTCCTCATCGAGCACACGGCGATGTCTCTCATTTGTGCCAGAAAGCAGCTGCGTGCATCAGGTCTCTTCATACTTCGTCGCCTGCGCGGTGCTCGATGAATTCGGCATGCCCCAACGCGCCGCGCTTGTCCATGTTGTATTCGTGATTCACAAACCGCGATCTTCTTTGGCTTGCTATAAATCCACACGGCCATCTCACTACCAAAGCGATTGGCGTAAAACAGCACGTCCAGCAATTTTTTCTGTTTTGAAGGCAACGTCTTAATCTACATCAGTTTGGCGTCCTATGCGTCCATCACTATCCCTACACAAGTTCTCGACGCGACTCACGACAGTCAGCATCGCCTTCGTCGACTGGATCAGCCATTCGAATCACCGTCGCTGTTGTCAAAGTCCTGCTCTCAGCTGGTACTAGAATCTGCGAAGTCTTTTCTCGTTGCGCTTGCACCAGCTTAAAGATTGCATCTTCACTGCTAGAGACGGTGAGTAAGGCTCGTGTCTAAGCGCTCGGAGTTGCGTCCCAGCTTTTGTGGCAAAGGCAGCTGCAGAAAGTAGCGCTGCGTGCTGCGTTCCTGCTACATCGCGATCGGCGCAAAGCATGTTGCCGCTTCAAGCATCTTATTGCAGCTCCTGCACATCGGCTTCAGCTCGCTACATTCGTCCTCAACCTTGTCTACCTCAGCGAGACATTCGCAGCGCCTCGAAAAGCCTCGCCCAAGGGCCGCCGAAGGATGGGAGCCACTCAGTAATCGGATTGGGCTTGGCCTGCAAAGCCACTCAAGACCCTCGATCTGAGGGCAGAGCACTGCTACATCGAGCAAGCAGGATTCTCAATGCAGTCGATGTCTCAAACCTTGTGGCAGAGATGCAACGGGCTTTTGATTCAGACTTGGCTTGTGGCTGCAAGGGTGAAAGGCAGCTCGTATAGAGCCACATCTTCGACGACCCCAACAAAGGCTGGCTTGTCAGCAGTGATCCATTCATGCATGCAGTGCTGGAGACGTAGCTCTGTTAGCTCGTGCCATCATTCTACACCCTTGCTGACCCGTGGCTCCCATGGCGCTTGTGAGCAGACTGCAGCTCGTGCCGTGGGGCGCTCGCGGAGCCGAAGCCCCGAACCGTCGTGTAGCGCCTCGCTTTCTGGCTTGAATTGCATCCTCGGCCATCGCGTCAATGTGCTGACTTGTTTTCAGTCGCTCTCCGCTCGAACACAGAGTTTTCGCAGCTGTACGGAGCCGAAGAGCTGTGAAGGCTATCATCATCGGACCCTAACTCCTGCCATCGGCGAGTGAGTCGTTATGGAGTCTCGAGCAGGCGCTGTTCTGGTGGCAGCTCTGGTCGACTCTGGGCATAGCCACAGCGAAGCAAGGAGACGCAGAAGGGTTCAACGGAGTCAATGTCCATGGTCATCAGGCTGATACTATGCTTGTTCTATCTTTCGATGATGTGCAGCGCCTCGCTAAGTCATCCTCCTGCAGCGAGGAGCAGCGTCGCAAGCACGCTGGTGGGAGCCCGCCTGCCTGTACAGTGCCTTCGAAAAATCGACCCTCGCTGCTACATCCGGCGAATCTATTCAGTCAAATTGCGCTTACGCTTGTAGCGTACGCATCTCCTACTCGCCTTTGGCGTCATTGACGCGCGCTTGGTGAGTAGCCCTCAGTGGATGCGTACTCCCTCACTGCGCAACGTCCCTCCTGGTTTCGTGGCCCCTTCTTTCGCACGTCAGCGGCGCTCGTTAGCGATTCGTTGCTGCTCGAACCTCGAGCGAGCTGCTTCAATCACGTCTGCATGCGCGTGGCGTATGCTATCATCGGGCTACGACGACGGCTCCGCTTGGGATGCAATCCCGCTGGAGATGGTGGTGCGATTCGAGAGCGTCGTCGTGGCCTGCAGACTTGTCCGGTTGCAGAGATGTCTTTCTTGCGTCTCGTTGCTTTGCAACATCGCATGCAGTTCTGCCACACGTAAACGTCCGCATTGGGCAAGCGCGCGTGAGATCTATGCAAGGAGGATGCAGGCAGGCCCCGGGGCGCGCGGCGGCACTGGTCGCGGACGCGTCAAGACGCTCGCATGCACGCGTGCATCTTTGTCCCGCTCTGCGGGCGCGGTCGTGTCACCGTTGCTTTGGGTCGCTTCAATCTCGTTAGGCTCCTTTGCGGCCAGCTGAGGGGTCCGGTCAGCCATTCAAATCTTGCTTGGCTCGGAAGCTAAGGAAAGTCAGGCCGGCCGCTTGCGGCTCTTGAATGTTCGGAGCAGCTTGTACCGAAAGCGTTGCGCAGCGAAGCATGGTGAAGCAGCCCAGCAGCCGCATGTGGCCAAGCTCATGCATCCGACGCCGGTTCCAGCGTTATTCACCCGCGATTCAGATTATTGGGAAGCTCGTGCTCAGTACTTGTTGAGCGGTTTGCCTCTGGATGCGTCGGTGGTACATATGAAATCACGAATGCAAGCGGACAGGAAATTGCGCGCGCAAGACGCACGACTGACGCTATGGAGCCTCGCGCCCACACGACGGCGGACCTCTCCTGCTCGCTCTAGATTTGTGATTGCATAGACCTTTGTCGCTTCGCATCCGGTATCATTTTTCGCTGACCATGTGGCTCCATCCCTCTCCTCACTCTTACTTGTCCACCTCCTCTCGACTTTTCCTCGCTTCTCTCGCCACTGCGTTCTTGACGAACCTCGGCGATACAATCTGCTCCCGCTTCGACTTCGTCCGCTTTTGAATGGGACTTCCTGCACTTTGGATGCACCGATCGGACGATTTGATCTTCGCCGTCCTTCTTTGATCCATCTAAAACATACCCCACAACAAATTTGGTCCACATCTCACTTCTTGTCTCACTCTTCGTCAACATCATCGCCACCATCTTCCAATTCGACCAAACCAACCGGCGGATTCCATCTTGGACGTCTCACGTCTCACCCATCCATACTTTCTGTCTCGCAAACATCTTGACACCTCATATCTGCTTTTTGGGATTCACCATCGTCCCTCGACATTGCTCTTGGCAACATGTCCTGGCCTCAAATGGATGGATTCACCACGGATCCGCAGCACACGGTGCTCGGGTCCAGCGAGCATTCCGCAGGCCAGCAACCTCAACAGCAATACTCGCACGCTTTTGACCAGCCGATACTTTCCCCAAGCGCATTCACCAACACCTTCGGTCTCAGTACCGTGCCTTTTCCACAGAGCGCGCCTCAATTCGCTCTGGGCCAGCAAGGCTCGCCAACCTTTGCGACACCTTCCTTCTACGAGCCAAGCTCTTCGAGGTCTGTTCAGCACAATTACGTCCCTCATTCTCCCGCTCAGACGCAGCCTTCGCCTCAAATTGCTCCAGAACATCGAGAGATCGTGGTTGCAACAGCAGGCAACAAAGGCATCGCCATCGTTCCTCAAAGCAGCGAATGGACCTCTACTAGGCCAAAGAGAGCCACATCACCGCGATCGCGCAACGCGGTTCGCAATCTCACCCGCGGCTTTCCGACATCGATGAGCAACATTGCACTGTCCACACCACCAGCCAACAGGCCGAGTCATTTGCACTCGCCGTCTGGCGAGTACGGAATGTCCTCGCCGACGCCGGCGCATCCTTCCATGATGTCGCCCAGCGGCCCAGCTGCTCCGGGGGGTAGCTCTGCTGTGGGCCACGTTGGTCTTGATTCAGCAGTTTCCGGCAGAGACAGCTCTATGGGTGGCGCCTACACCCATTCGACTGGTGCAGCATCTTCTTTCCGCCCCTTGCGCCCCGCTGGTCTCCTTCAACGTCCTGTTGGTCCAGTCTACGTCCACCAATACAACACATTCACTGGAGATGCCGGTACTCCATGTGAGGTCATCGTCAACGTCGATGTGGCCTGGGCGCGCAACGTTGGACTGCTCGTGGGCGGCTCGCGGATCGGAGATGGCACCACCTCGATAGGTACCAGCACTCCGGCTCAGACCCGACTGCTCCTGGTGTTTGGCTCTTGCGTCGTAGAAACACAAGCGACGCGCTTGAACACCAGTGAGGCGATCTCATCCCCGGCATCCGCAAGGTCGGAAGATCTAGAGATTCACCTATCGGGGTCTGCGCCAAGCTTTTATGATACACGTTGGAGTACATCAAGAGTGACCTTGCACGTCCGAGCGCACATCGATATCACGGATCAAGCTTCGCCTTTGAGTGCAGCTGATGCTCTCTGTGTCAGTGGCATCGACGTCGCCGATTTCATCTATCCGCCATCGTCACCACGCGACACTTGGCGACGCGACGCGGAGCATCGCGATGAACCTACCGGGCTCAGACGTCCCGCAAGCTTCCCCGCATTGGTTGGGTCTTTCGACCATCAGGTCCCATCGTCCATCGGGAAAGCACCTTCGCAACGCTCAATCAGTCATCGGAACTTGAGTCGCATGGGAGAGGTCGGGTTAGCACGCACAGGCGCTGCGCCGTTCGCTCCTCAACATCGACCCACTCTGTCTTCCTCATCGGCTGGACAACTGAGCGACGCAAGCACCTTCGAGAATGGCGGCGTGATGGGTAAGCACTTGCCGTATTGTCCGCCGAATTGGTCCAATAACCCCCTTCGCCGCAATAGTATTCCCATTGGTGGTGGCGTCAGTGAGCTCGCCGCAGACGCTGCCCACCACACGACCTCCGACCCGCCATCTGTCAGCTCCGCCACCGAGCATCTACCTTCGCTGATTCGTACCCCTACACACGCCTCACCTCGCACAAAACTTCCCAGTCTATCGCTTCGCGGTACCAGTACTTCGTCCGCTGCGCAAGCGTCATCGCCATCGAGAGGTCCTGACTCGTCTTCGTCATCAGGCTCGCCACGTGGGGGACCGTCGCAGCTTCGCGCCAATCTCGAGATACAGAGTGATCTCAACGGTCTAGCCATTGGGTGGTCACATGCTGAATGGCAGACCGGACGCCGTCTGATTCAATTTTGGCGCCGTCAAGAGGGCACGACGATCATGACCTACTGCAAAGCGATCCACCCGCACGAGTATAAGTCGAGCTCGATAGTGGTGTCCTGCATCTTCCGCGCGGACAACAACAAGTGCTACATTACGAGCGTCGACACCATCTACCTCCTCGAAGCTTTGGTCGGTACCAAGTTCACCGTTGAAGAGAAGAACCGCATTCGTCGGAACTTGGAGGGTTTCCGTCCTCAGACAATCTCAAAGAGCACGCGCAACAAGGAAGAGAGCATCGCCTTCTTCCAGCTCATCATGTCATTCCCGAACCCCAAACCTCGTAATATTGAGAAGGATGTCAAGGTATTCGCTTGGGACCAGCTCGCCAACATGTTGAAGAAGATCATAAGCAAGTACTCGGCGTGTAGCTCTCCCGTGCTGGAAGGCGGTGTCATGAGTGCTCCGCAGATGCATGCTCGCAACGTCAGCATCAGTAGCACCGGAAGCATCAAGTCGAATCCTACTCCACCTTCCACGAAGATGGAAATGGGGAGCACCGACAGCGGGCTTAGCATGATGCCACCCACGGGTCAACACCACTACCAATCACCGGGAGTGGCGGGCCTAGGCGATTATCAGTCTCTATGGACTGGTACCGCTCCGTCCCCTTCTCACCCTCATTCGCAATCCCACGGCTTATTTCACGGTGCTCCGCGGGGAGGTTACACGAATGACTACATCACCTCACCCATGAACTACAACAACCAGCCTCTCCATGGCGGATTCGGAGCCCACGTGGGCAGCGGTGGTCCACACTCGGAATTTGTTGCTTCCAACGGACCCAGCCTCATGGGTTTCCACCAACAACAGCACGATCCGCACTCAGTCCAGATCCCACCCATATCGTCCTTCTCTCCGAACATGAACGTAGGGTCGCTCGGTATGAGCTTTGGGCAGTCTCACGCTGCACACCACTCTCACCAGCATTGACCCTGATCCCACTACCCATCCGGAAAGACGGTTGCTGATGTGCTCTCAACCATGCACTATCATTGCCTTCTTGCTACTGAGATCTAGAATAGCGGTACGGTTTGCTTCTTTGCGTTTCGATTTACCCCACATTTGTACTCTAGCACAGCCAGCCACTCTTAGCCCCGTCGTCAGCATGCTTCTGCATAGACCAGCGGGTCAGAGCATACCCCCGCTCCCAAACTTCGAAGGCCATGTCGCCCCCTGTTCGCTGATCCCCTAAACATGCCTCTTACTCAGCCCAACACATGGCCTCCACAACAGTTCATGACAACGTGAGCAATGCGATGACGATTCGAACAAGATTGATCAGAGGACGCTTGTTTGGAGGTCTATTGTTTGGTCTTGATGTAGCAGTGTCACGGATGATCAGGCGTCAGATGGTGAATTCATGAGAACGTAATGTATTCAGCTAGCCGCGACGCGCACTCCAGAATTTGGCACCAAAGCCGGCCCTCCGGAGGTGAGGAGACGATCAAGCACGGGATCTTTCTTTCTCCTATCCGTGCCTGCCAACCTCTGGGCTACAAGTTGAAGGACCTCTGAGCTTCCCAATTCGATCTTGTCGCTGGCCAAAGGATCCGCGCGCGAAGGTCCCTGTGATGGGCAGAGCGAGGAGTGCGTATGATGGCTGAAGGAGATGTAGCAGGAAACAGAGATGGAGCTCACTTTGTTGAGAATCATGACGGATCCACCGGCCTCGTGCATGGTCTTTGCTAGCCTATATGCGCTGTATGTTGCCGTAGAGGAGCCCACCTGAGCAATGGACGGGAGTAAGGTTCGGAGCTCAGAATTCAAATTCTCGACTTTAGCTTTCAAACGTCGACTCACGATGAGCATCTGACTTGCTCTTCGGACGAGCTCAAAGGAGCGGTCCCGCAGCGCGTCCGGAACAGACTCTCCAAAGCTTTGAACCGTAGGAGACACCATTCGGTCAGCGATGCGAAGCTGGTAGTGCCCAGCGTGCGGACTTGACTCACAAGACGACGCCGCTTCAGGCACGAGGTGGAAAGGAGATGCGAGAGAGAAGCTCAGCTCTCGTTGGGGGACTGCGACGTTGCTGTTGCGGCGTTGCGAGTGCGCTCACGGCTTTAGAACCCCTCCGCAACTCGGACAGGCGGGATAGTGAAAAGAGCTGTAATCCGTATTCCTTGCAAGCTCCACCTGTAAGATGGCAATGAGACAGCATGAAACTGTAGGCGTGAGCTCGAAGATGAAAAAAAGAGGGGCGGGGGCGGGCGTCTGCGATGAATTTCTACGCACATCACCATCAGGATTGGTTTTGGGTTGAGTACCACGTTGATGCATCTCCTTGGCCATTTCGTCCCACATTGGGTTCCTCTCGGCGAGTATGGACTGGTAGGCCGATCTACTTCCCCTGAAACCGCAACCTTTGGGATAAGCTTGACCCGTAGGAGTGTTGAAAGGTCGAGGCTCTGCTCGGAGACGCGGACCCGAGAGATGTGACTGGGTGAGGTGCGAATGCAAGGTCGGGTCCTTCGGCCTCGATGGCGCGTTACCGGGCGTAGGTGACGAGACACACAAGACGTGCTGCAAGGTGCCTATCAAGGATGCCAGTGGAGCAACATTGCGTGGGCAGCAGACTCGCGCTGGAGCTAGATTTGTCAAGACTGCTCACCGTGCAATTCGAGGATGGAGGAAGCAGCGAGAGAAGGGCTGGGCGTGGCCATGTGATGCAGACTGTCGACATTCTTGGGAACGCGATGTCAGGGAACAGTGAGATGAGACGCAGGCCAAGGCGCGCTTCCGCTCTCAACAACATCGCTGTTCTCACCTGCGTGATGTAGTCTGCAAAGGCACCCAGACGTTGCAGTGCAGCAACGGCGTAATGAGTCTTGTTCGGCCTGGCCACCAGCACGGGTGGATAGCCCAAAAAGGACCTGGACCAGTACCTCTGTCTCGCAACGTGGCCCTTTTCGGATGAATCGACAAATTCGTGGAAAAAGATGGGTCGATAGGTCTTGTGCACCTCATAATGACCGCCCTCTCCTCGATAGGGTGCGATGCCCGAATCCACCGATACACCCGCACCCGTCATCAAGATCGTGCCTGCGCCAGTACCAGAGCGCCTCTCACCGGCTGGCGAGGATTGCTGTTTGTCTAGCGTGGTCCATCTCGAAGTTGCAGAGCTCGTCGAGCCTTGCAATCGCTGCTGCTGCTGCTGCTGCTGCTGCTGCTGCTGCTGCTGCTCCGTAACCCCTTTTTGCAAGAACTCGTACACCGCCTCTGCAGCTTGCTGGAGCGTGTGCTGATGCTTGGCCTTGCCCACCTCGCTCGAAGCAGGTATGGATGGGATGCTGATTCGCATCTCGTCCTCTTCACCAATCTGTGCTTACAAGCATCCAAGAGACATGTGGATGTCGGTATTCGAAAGGCGACCGAGGTGCTTTTGACTTCGCTTGGTCAGCAGCAGCATACCGTGGATGCGCGGTCTAAAAATCGGCAACACCACGCCAGGTTTCGCCGTCACGGTTGCGTGCGTACATGCAGCAGTCAAAGTGCACGACTGCATGTGACGCGATCGGACTCCGCGGAGTTCGGCCTTGGCGCCGAATCAGAAGCGCGCAGAGGCGCTGTGCCGAATCGTGAATGACTCGCCTTCGTCTCGAGGACGCAGAGGGTTGATCCGCGACATGCAACGAGTCACAGAACTGGTCAACTGACCTTGTATGACCGTCGCTGATATGCTGATGGTGTAGGAGGCACTTCATCTTCCCAACGCCGGTCTCATCGCTACTCCAGCGTTAGCCGGTCTGAGAGTCAGAACAGGTGCTCGCGCGTCAACAGAAGATGAATTGGAAGGCAACGACGAGCTGGCAATGGTGGGCGCAGTATAGATACAAGCAAGCTACTCGTGGAGCTACAACGACAAGCAAGAGAAAAAATAGAAAAATAAATAAATGAAAAAAATAAACAGGCGCAGCCAAAGTCGCGTCTGAAATATGAACGTATTCTCAAGCCTTTTCGGACGGCGGAGCTTTGCCCGTGGCACCGCTGTCGTCGTAGCTAGGCAGCTCGTCCTCACCTCGTTTCTTCTTCGAAAGCTTTCCCTTCTCGTCGTCGTCGTCATCATCGTCGTCGTCATCATCATCCTCGTACGCAGGCAAAACTTGATCCGCCATGAGCTGGTCCATGGCTTGATCATCGTCTTTGGGAGCCTTGACGAACTGGTCCTTTGCAATCAGTAGCAGCGCCTGTCTTCGACCAGCCACTGCCCTTGTCAGATGGTCTACGTCGTTCCCATGGGCTGCAAGGTCTTCAGCCGTCACACCGCTCGATGGCGCAATCCGCAAATCTTCCAGCTTGGCCACGAGCGACGAACCTAGGCCGGGGATGGGCACCTTGAGCACGAGCGTGTAGCGTACCTTGAGCGTGGGAAGTTCCAAGTTCGGAGTCAGATCCAGGTGGATCTGTCCAACCAGCTGAGCTGTTGTGCTGTAGCCAGACGAAAGAGCGGAAGCTTTGCTAGGCTCAGTCCATCCGTGAGCTAGACTACCAGCCGGCCCTTGCAGATGCGTGTTGCTCCAAGCAACGCGAGCCGAGAAGCTGTGTTCGAAGTTCGTGACTAGGAAAAAGTCGTTGGCCTTGCTGTTGGTGCTGTTTTCGATCCTTCTGCGAATCTTGATACGCGGAAGGAGCTTGTCCGCAGGGGGCGCACCGCCGCTGCCAGAAGAGGGCAAAGCGTTTGTCCCAGGCAAGGACGGAAGTGACGCGTCTGGGCCCGTCAGATCGCTGGCATTCTTTGCGCTGGCTGTCAGCTTCAGCACTACCGGCAAGACAGAGTCTGGAGCGACTGCATCCAGAATGGGAACGAAAAGCTGTATAGGAAAGGCGCAGCCAAACGCTGAGCGAACAATCCGCGGTGCCTGAACGTCAAAGAGACTTGCTATGACTCACTTCCGCGTCCACGGTGCCCTTGCTGAAGAGAAGCTTCTTGCGAATAGCCTGCGACGCCGTGCCTCTGACCCAGCCAGGTGGCACCGCGCTGAGATTGGCTGGCAGCTCTTCAAGACTAGGAATCTCGCCCTTGCGCTCAGATATGCCCGAGACCAGTAGTGGCAGCCAGGCTCTACAAAGTCAAGCCACAAGACTGGTCAGTACCGAGCCTGAAGGTCATCACTTGCGAGCCTCACCTCGAGTGTCTTTTGAATGTGCCAGAACGCTTCGCTACCGCCTTCCATCCATACACGACGGTAGCAGTGCCGTCGATATAGCTATTGGTAGTATCCTTAAATGTAGCCGGTAAGGCCAAAGTCTGCGATTTCGCGCTGCCAGGCTTGGTCTCGAAAGTGGTTGGCAAGATGCTGCTTACATCCCACGCGGCAATGTCAGAATGATCCACTTTGGCTTTGCCCGTTGTCAAGAGATGCTCTTCGACCGCGTCCGTCTTTGCTCCTTCGCGCGCATAAAGGACGGCACGCCGCACAAAGATGGTCTGTGACCCAAGCGGGTGGAGCGTCAGCCAAAGGCATCCAAAGGTCATGTCCAGCTGAACTCACCTCTGTATGCGGGTTGGTGTAGCGGTTGCCATACTGATCCCACGAGTAGCCTGGTAGGATGCGCGATGCGATTTCAGCAGGCGACGTGGTCAGAGGGGACGAGCACCGGCGATGCACGCACCGTAGCTGTGTACTTCTCCTTTGAGCTCGATGGTCAGCTGCTCGAGGTCCGAGTCCTGAGCCAGCGCTCTCTCATCAATCTCGACTTGCGCGGTGACGGCTTGTCCAGGAAAGTACACTCTGGCTACATCTGCGTGAATTTTGGGCACAGGCTTCTTGTTGCCGGCATCTTCGCTTTCTGATGCGTCTCTTCCTAGCATCGCTCTCCACTTGCCCTTGCCACTGCTGCCGTTGGTCGATTCGCCCTCTGCGCGCTTTGACTCGTTTGGATCGTCCGTGCTTTTGCGCGAGTAGAGAGCCAACAGTCCGACATATTGACCCACGGGATCTGGCAAGTGCTTCTTGCCTTTTGTCAAGCTGCGTTGACCGCTCATTTCTGCCAGTCGTGAATCGTGAATTGTGAAGGGCGCTTCGAGCACGTATCTCGTTCTGTTTGAATGAGGTCACTAGTAGTAGTAGTAGTTGTTGTTGTAGTAGTAGTAGTAGTTGCGACAGGTAGCTTGAGGATTAGCTACAGGAAGGCGGAGTTTGATTGTGGGCGCGCATGCGGGCCAAGCCACTCACCTCTCCGCCTCTTATTTAAGCTTTTCGCGTTCCAGCTAATAATCACGAATGTCAGAGCTATCGTGCTACATACCTCACGGAGAAAGGAAGTGCGTGGACGCAGAGTTCCCATTTCGTCGCGTGTGAGCTATGTATGGCACGTCATATATGCACCTCTGTGAGCTATGACGCCATGAGCATACAACGAAGTGAGTTTGAGTCGAGAGTATATACTGTAATAAGAACGACCGTGAATATTTAAACATACGCGAGCAAGTCCACTCGCAGCTTTCTTGCTCTCATGCGCACGGCACCTATACTGTATCATGTACGGGTACCTGTATGTCAAGCACACATGTCAGCAGCAAACAACCTTTGCATCTCTGTTCCGCAACAGTCGACACGACACGCCGCTGCACGCCGGCGCAGCGTCTCATGCACGTCGCGCGAGGACGACATGGTCAAAATAAGACCCGCGAAATCGCGCGTGGTGATCATGCTCAGCTGGTTGCTCAGCATGCAATCAAGAGGGGACTTCAGAGGAAAGAGTCAAGAGTTGGGGTCGTCGCGGGTTGTGCGAATGCGGACGAAGCTATAAACAGAGGTGTGCGCAAGGCCATGCTATATTCAATTATGATCAGCAGACTTATGGCATAGAACATCTGGTCTCACTTTAGAGTGGTCTGTGCGAGCAGAGCCTCGTGCACTCACACGTACTCAACTCACACTATTGTAGAGCGACTCGTGGCCGGGCTGTCACCAGCCCGCTCAATTTCCGCTGCATGCCTGCATGCACCTACAGCTACAGGCGCTGGGGGAACACTCGCAGGCATCATTCGATCACTGTGACTGCATCGTGACGAGACTCGTCGAGTGTGGCTGTGCTGAGTAATTGCTTGTGGATGCGCCAAGACCAGAGGAACAGAGACGCTACTGCTGATGACTCACACTGTTGTACGTGTGAGCTTAGTTGGGGCCGCGGGGTACGCTTGTGATGCATCAGTCGATTCGTGAGTCTTGGATGCACGGCAAGGCGTTCAGCCTCGTGTCTACATTGCAAAAGAATTAATTGAATGACGGCGAGGTGATGATGCTCTCTCGTTTGCGAGGCTTTTGCGACACTCGGATCGTGAAATCGGGAGAGTCACGAGTGCAATCAAGCACGACAGCCTTCATCCGCTTACCGCACCAGTCGCTCAACACCATTACTTTCCACGCGATTGCGGCCTGTGTCTCCCTCAAGAGCGGCGCCAGCGATTTGACGACAGCGTAGACAACGCCGACAAGCATCCATCCACCTCTAGCTGTGACTTTTGCGAGCAGCGCGTCCAGATGCCGACGACCATTCGCGTCAGTGGTCAAGCTCAGACCACGCACAAGGCTGAATTGGCAACGCTGAAACTTCAAATTCGATACGAGCACGTCAGCAAGGAGGAGGTGAGCCAAGGTCTGCATGGCTTGCTTACATTGCGCCGCATGGCTTGACTGACTCGTTCCGAGCTGCTGGTCTTGTCTCAGGCCAGCGCTCAAGTCAGAAGAACAGCTGCTCAGCTCTCCGCCATTCTCTCCGATCTGGCACCCAAGGATCCGAATGGCGCTATTGCTCTCACCGCGCCCGTCGCGGCGTGGAGTATGGAGAGCTTGACAGTCACGCTCCCTTGGTATGGCATCGACGATGATGAGGCAAAACGCAAGAAGCGCAAGTCTGTAGCTCAGGCTGCAGTGGAGGCCACCTTTCGGGACATTGCCAAGGTGAGAGCGCTCCCGGTTTCATGAAACATTGCCGTTCTGATGGGCACGCCGCTCAACGCTCACCGCGCTGCTCTCTCCCTGACACTGGACAGCTCTCAGACATCATCACGACAGTCTCTGCCATTCCGCACGTCTCCTTGCAGAGGGTAGGATGGAAGTTGAGAAAAGCTACGCGAGATTCATCGCAGAGCGATCTGCGTCGACGAGCAGCTGGAAATGCGAGGGTGAAAGCCGAGGATTACGCCGCCGCGCTGGGCTGCACTGCTTCGCTGAAATGCGTGGAGGTGAGCGACTTCAATGCCAGCCCTGGGTGGGGAGCGGCGCGCACGTATGGAGCGCCTATGATGGCAAGAGCAGCGGTTCCAGGCTCTCAGCCCCAGGCTCCAGATATTGAGCTCAAGCCGGAAGACATCGATGTCAGCATCGAAGTGCAGACTGTATGGGAAGCCGAATAGCTCAAGACTGTTATCGCACCGTCTAGAGCCCCGGCTCACTTGGCCAGCGCAAAAGTCCAGTGGACAACTTTCGGGGCGTGCTGGAAGGCACGCTTCTGAAGGACCTGAGCCTCCCCGATCGCGTCGAAGCTAAGCCAATGCAGTCTGCCCTTCTGAGCTTGTCCTCTGCAATGGAATACGAATCATAGGTAGTGCACCTCAACGTTTAGGACTGACAGGTTTGCTCTGCTCAACCTCGCGTCTTCTCCAGCTCGGTGAGCGCCTTCTCAAAATCGGTCCTAGGTCGAACTTTTCCATTCGCCATGCGCTTCAGCTGGGGAAGATTGAACGGCCATCCAGGCTGAGGATTCTTGATACGTCCAGAGATCTGACGAATCATTTTTTCGTATTCTGGAGCGTTCGCAACAGGGCTTGCATCCTTTGCCTTTACAAAGGCAGGCGAAGGGCTGGCAGATTTCCATAATGGTGATCGTGGAGTCTCGGGATGATAGCGACCATCTGCCCAAGGTATGGTGCTGGCGTCGCTCTTGATACTGCTTGCTCGCGAAACTGTCATTGGTCGCCTCAGCAAGTGCTCGGGCAGCGAGAACAGCGAAGAATCACTCGACTTACGCGTCTCTGGCGTGTCTGGATTTGACTCGGTCTTCTAAGAGCAGGGAAAAGCGAGGGCATCAAAATAAAGCCCAGAGGCCAGATACGAGCCGTGGATCAAGGCCGCCCGAGGTTGCGCTCACTCACTCCTCTTCTCGACTTTTCGGGAACGACTTCGGGGTAATGATGTGGATCTCCATTCTTTGGACGCATCTCGGATGCGGCTGGACTCCACTGGCTGGGCGATCGGATAGGCGAAGGCGCAAATCCTGGTGCCCAGCGATCCGACATGCCGAAAGAGGAGCTTGATGAGCTGCTCCAGCTTGGGGTAGGTGAGGCGTGAGATGCGACAGGGGAGCTCTTCCTCTTGAGACGCAGCCCACTCTTCGTGCTCTTCCAAACCTTGCCCAGGGTGCTCAGAATTCCTCTCTGCACCAGCACCTCTCGCAGTTCGACGCCGCTGTGCGAAGCCCGGGGCTCCAGAGCGCGGCAAGGCCTTACGGTCCCATCACACGGCCTCGGACGTCCAGCAGCAGCCAGGCAGGGCAAGAAGAGCACGTGCAGAAGGAAGAGAATAGAAGTTCGATCGATGAATTGACGCATGAGCGCTTGGAAGGGTCGAAAGCTTACCTGCGAGAGCCTGCTCTCGCTCGGCATGAATAGCAGTATGGAAGGTTGTTGATCGAGGGATGTCTCATGGGTTCCCGTCGAGCAGAGGCCAGCTCTGCCTAGACTTTAAAAGTTACAACGATTGTGGAGTGAAATGCTGATGTGAGACAGAGGGTGAGTCGGTGTCTGGCTCCACGCAACCTCGCGCAATCAGCAGCGGCCCTTCGACGGACAGTTGTAGGAGTCAAGTCAAGGGTGCGAGCACGGCATGTAGATGTCCTATCAGGCACCAAAGTGGAGAAGTTGCACGGTCAAATTGATTCGATACACGCCGGCCAAGAACTCGGAGGCCACATGCATGATTCCTGTGCTAGCCTGAGCCACGATACAGACAGCGCTTCCAGCGGGCGTTGGTCTGCTGTCAACGCCACTCGTGGCTAAGATGACGCCGAAACAGGCATCTTGTTTGGCGCAGCGGTCCGGTACGAATCGATAGACCCATTCGACGTGCAGGAACTGGCAAAGAAAGGCAAAGGCGGCCAGACGCCGCTCTTGCACGGGGCCGCAACAAAGTCATACGTGCCTGGTAGCAAGGTCTGTTGCGCTCTGACGCGATCAACTCTACCCGGGAGTTATGGCTACCTGGCAATTTGTTGGGCGTATTGCCGCCGTTGAGGGCGTACACGGGACGCCGCAACGTACTCGTCATACCCGGATCACGCTTCACGATGCATGGTCGCACCTCCACAATGCTTTCGCCACCGCTGCTAGCCTGCCTGCTACCTCTCACTATCTACCAGGTGGCACGACAAGCTGAACGTTGAAACAACACGTGTATCAGCACTTGTGAGCTTTCGACATCACAACCCGCTCCGCTGCTCAGGAAGAAGATTGTGGCGAGCAGAGCTGTCATGAGTGTATTGCATCTCTTGGCTTTTTCTCTTCGCTTCTGGCCTTCTAATCGCGGACGCTGGACACAAGTCGCTAAGGCTGAACTTGGATCGGTACGCACGAAAGCGAACCATATGGTGAGGGGGTCGCTACAGCACTTTTGCCCTGCAAGCTTAGAGCATCTTTGTACGGATTCTTCACTTCCCATGCACGATGCGTGGCTCGTCAAAGTATGCTCCTTGCTTGTGCGAAAGGGCCCAAGCCCCCAGCGTCTGGCGCCGTCAAACTCTATCCTGGAGTTGCTCGTTACCACTTTCGAGTGCTTCTCAGCTTTTTGGTGGTTTTCTCGGTTGCCACGATGCTCCTTTTGTTGTGCGTGGCCTTGACCACCATGGTGTTCAGGATTCTTGGGGTAACTCCCGGGCTGCCCAAGGGGCAGCTATCAGCGTACTCCTGCAACCTCTTCTCTTCCATCTGGCCAGCACGCTTGCCACCAGACGACCCCGCGATCTTGGCCGACAAGAGCAGCGAGTCTGTGAGACTCGGTGTGCCTCCTGGTTTCATGTAGCTCGTCACGGGCTCGTCCCACCGAGTGCCAAATGCATGCTTATCCAGCACGGGATTGCCGTCGATGGTCGGTGACAAGATGAGCGGCAGTGCGAATGCCGAGCCGATGCTGAAGCAGTACGCGATCGTCTTCAAAAGTCTAGCTTTTACAATAACTGGACGAGCGCCAAGGGAAAGGCTACCGGGACGCGGCGCAATCGTGGGCTGAAAGAGGCAGCTGGTACACTCGCGTCGGTATATTTGGCCGAGCGTTCACTCCACCCATGCATGCATGCATAGCCAGTCCAGTTCACTGAGCTTACCAGGCCATTTGCTCAGGCCAGTTGGGAGAGATTGGATCAGTACCGTCTACCCTCTAAACGCCTCCAATTGCAGTATCAAGACGTGCTACGGCTGCCGACCTTGGGTGAGGTGGAAGTGTGCACGATTGAGTGGATTCGAGTAGCCTCAGTCCAGAAGCAGTGACTAACGTGTGGGCGAAGGGCCCAGATGTCCATCCAAGCACGGTGATCCCACTTTGCTTCCAGCTCGCGCCTCGTCGATCACCGTGGAACTGCAGCTTGTATTTGTGGTGAGAAACGACGAAGGGCACGCTCGTTTGTGAACCACCTGTTTCTGAACCTCAGCCGCGAGCGTGCACGCCTCCGCTGCGGGGAGGTGGCACATCGTCCGTCACGAAATGCATCCATTTGGCATTCGGCTTGAGGACGAAAAGCTTGCGAGGCTCCCAATGCTTCTCCTTCGTCAGAGGTACGAGATCAGCAAATGCGAACTTGTTGAGTCCAGGGTCCTTGCTGGGGTCGAATGCTTGCATCAGCGGTGCAGCGACTGCGCACCCCATGGCAAAGCAAAGCGTGCTCAGAGCGAAAATGAGCTTCATGCTGAAGGTGGTCGTCCTAGGATCAGAAACATCGAGTAACGCGTCAGCCTATCATATACCAACAGGCTTGCCTCCCAAAGCGACTTTCTCATGCTCACGTGAGAAGCTGGGCTTCGGGTCGTGAGCTTTAGAATTTAGCGCGCTTTCTGCGTTGCTCTGAGCTTTTGCGTGTGTTTGCCTGTCAGCTGTCAGCTGATGAGATCAATTGAGAGATCTGAATGCTTGACCGGATTCCATGAAGGAAGGCGGTTGCGACTGACTTCGACGAAGGGTGCTCTCTTATACCTTCGCTGCATGGGCATCTTGCCGTGACAAAGTGTACCTACGCAGTCAGGTCCAGATCCCTGTGTCGGACTTCGCTGCGACATGGCTCTGGTCCCTTGGTAGAAGCGTCTGGCTCAGCCATAGGATCGGCGCTTTGTAGCCAGCCAGCACCTCAAGCAAGACTTGCATCCAACGCGTTTGCAAAGAGCATCTGTGGTGGCGCAAGTCTTGCGTGCGCGATGGAGGGCTAAAATGTCCAACGGCCCGCTCGGTTATGAGCTGATCGTATGTAAGGCTATTTACGGCATGGCATGGCGATCAAGGACTGCTGTGAGAAGTCAGCAATGCAACAAGAGGTCGAGTTCAACGTAGGTGGCAGATTTGCGTTGGTACCCAAACCAGCTGTGTGTTGAGAATGTGAATAGGATTTCCCGCACAGCGTTTGCACAAAGACTATCGAAACGATCAAGATGAGGTCTTCGACGCTCCTCAGCCCAAGTCGAATACGGACGGCGGCCCGGAGTATTCTGATGGGTGAAGTCACGCAAGAGAAGAATAGCATAGATGGCAGCTCGAGTCGGCGTGGAGCTTTTCCCGTGCCCTTGGCTCCTATGATGAATGTGAGCCGCGTGAAGACGAGTCAGGCCGATCAGCATGCCGTGTGCGTACTGTAACTCAACTGTGCATGCTATAGCCAAGCAAGTCGGTCGATTCAAGATGAATGACTCTGTTCCTGATTCTCATCCACATTCTTGGCACTTCAAATGCACTTATAGCCGCGGCGTTCAGTGTCAAGGCCCAGACACGTGAGCACGAGGAAACAAGAGCACAAGGTAGCGGCGTCGCTGTGCCAACCCTGTTCCTGGATCGCGATGTATAGGTGCTGATAAGTGGATCGACATGACGCATCGCCGAGCTAAGTGCTCAAAATGCACGCTCAGGTCCTCAACGCCGATGAACGACAGCTGTCCGCTCGAACTTAACAGCTTCCGGCGTTACAATTGGACAGGGAATGAGCGACGAGCACAACCAGCAGCGCGAGCATCTCAACTTACCACAAGGGCAAAACGAAGCCAACGCTGCGCCGGTGGGCGCCTTTGCAAGTACGCCGCCGCTCACTTGTAGGGAATGGTGCAGCTTGCCAACGCAAGACGGGCTCGCATCTGCGCAGCGCACATTCTCCCAGTGATCTTGCTTCTCGCTGCTATGCTAAGCATGGATGCATACTTATTCAACAGTCTGAGTGTGGATGTGGGATTCCGTAGTAGGCTACGCCTTGCCAATCATTACCCTGCTCTCCTGGGTCTTGACTGGAAGATCGATTGCTGAGGGACTAGGCTAGTCTCATCACCTCGTGCGGACGGATGAGCGCCGCCAGCAGCGCCGCAAGCAGTCGGCGAACTCACCACTTGTGACTACCGATACAAGCAGTCGATCATGCTACAAGTGCAAGAGTATGAGCACCTAAATGTGCATTGCATCAGATCTCTGCCAGCTCATCTGCCTGAGTCCTTCGTCGTACATCACCGCTTTGGGAGTTTGACCGAATGTCAACTTGCTCTCTCGCGTGATCTGCTTTGCGTTCCCGATGAGTTCCATCCAGATTCTCGGGAATTCCCTTCATATTTTTCTTCCATACATCCCTCGTGATATCCTCTAGCGCCTCGATCAGTTGATCTGCCTTTTTTCTGACCATATCTCCCTCCTTTTCCTCCTTACCTTTCTTCACCAAACCGGAAGCCACACTTTCATCGGACCAGCCGTCGACCCTGCCAGATGAAACGTATTCTTGTCCCCAAAAGTTGGCGCACGAGCCGTACCGCAGCATCGGGCTGAGCAAGTGTTGGGGTGCGAGAGCCACGTGAGAAGCTGCCACTGCTCCTTTATATGGCTGAATAGGATGGTTCGGTGAAAATGTCCATCGAGCCTGTTCGGGAGGTGCAAAAGTCATCAGAAGAGCCCACGGGTAATCTGCTTTGCTAGCAGCACGCACGAAGTAGAAGGCGGCGTGCATGCACCATGCCAGGACCACATTGAGGAATTCGGAAAAGATGCTGCTTGCCACTACGCCTGGATGGACTACAAAGCTCTCAGGCGAATGCGGTTTGACACCGTTATTGTGGACTTGAAGGCCGTTGTCCTGGCGATCGAACAGCGACGCATTAAGCCTCTGGCCCAGTCCGATTGACGCAAGCTCGCATTGGTATTTGGTTGACTCGTAAGGGCAGTGGCGTCTCTGATTGTCGAGACATTGAGGGTCGCGCGCCTCATAGTGTCGCTCTAATGCCTCGATGGAACTTGTCCAGATGACGCGAGAGGGGGTGTCGAAAGGACTGGCCCGCAGAGCTGGTAACAATGCCCTTGTCTGTCGCCACGTATAAGAGCAATGCGCTTGAGCTACTGCTCAATCGCTGTAGTGACAAGAAGCATGCTACTCACGACGACGTAGTGTGCACCCACATTCGCCTGCCAGACCCATCCGTATCCGTCTGAGCTGCGATCACCTGACCTTTGGAGTTTGTACTTCGGCAGTGTGACAGCAACGTGCAAGCTGGTGAGCACCTGCCAGACAGCCAGTGGCCAATCCAAGCCGATCCAAGCGGCACCTCCAGCATTGAGAACGAGATGCGTGACGTAGCCATACCTGATTCAGGCGATGGTGATGAGTCATTGATTTGACCTCGGCAGCTGCTCAAGAGGATACTCACCTCTGTGTGACCTCGCTGGCACAGCTCAGAGCGCTAGACATGCTGTTCAAGTCAAGCTCGACAACCTCAATTTGCGTCCCTTCGCAAAAGCGTCGCCTGTATGCGGCAGCTGCTCTCGGCTCCCGATGATCCAATTTGAGCAAATTTCCGTTCTCATCTCTGCTGTATTCCCCACGAGCCGACATGTCTCCACTGGCATATTGGTGTTCGTCAAGCTTGCAGCTCTGACTAGGTACGTCGCGCAAAGACTCGGAGGTCTCTGGCAGGCGAGCGAGGTGCCACAAGAGCGTTTGCAGCTCGTCTTTCGCCGCATGAGCTTTCTTCGGATTCCTGCAAGCAAGGACCAAAGTGCACCCATCAGGAGCAGCGAAAGGTGACGGCGTAGCCTCGCTGTCAGAGGAGTGAGAGCTAGACAGCCTCCAGTCTGGCCGAGTGTCCGGGGGTAATGCATGCGACAGCTGGACTAGAAGACGCTGTGCTGTTCCAAATCCGAGCCCGGCGTTGGCGCCCGTGATCACAATGATTGGGCGAGCGGACATTGCTAGCGAGATGAGAGTAGTTCGTCGAAGACAAAGTGCTTGCACAATATGAAAACGATTGCGCCTCAGATAGCTTGACAATGCTCAAGGCGACATCTCGCTGAAGGGCCGTGGACTGCGGATAGGCAGATGTGTGCGACGAAGCTGACAACGGGTGTTGATCGAGCGTCCTTCGACATGACTTGACTCGCACTCCGCTGCAAGAGGACTAAAACAGAGCGCGGGGAAGGTCGAAGGCAATCGTCTCTCAAATGAGTGACTTCAGTGCAGAGCTGAGACGTGACTGAGACTGAGCCTCGCCCTGGACTTTGCATGGGCAGTCGTGAGTCAAGGATCAAATCTTGTCCGTTGCTCGAAGCCGAAAGTCAACAGTCGTGGGTCTTGAGTCGAGAAGAAACCGCCAACAGGTGCACCCCATCACGTGATGCCCTTCCAAAGTAGCTGGATGGACATCCGTTTCTGGACGGAGACCCACATGCCGCTGCACACGCGGTCCCCGCCCCTCCGCCAAAGTCGCGGCAGACTGATCAAGACTCACACTGAGCGGTTGCAAGCTTGGACCATGATTGAGGCGAATTTGTCGCCGTGCGTTCACCTTGCTTCCCATCTTTCCTCATCGACCTGCATTCTGCACAGCGCTCCTACCATCTGACCGACGCACACAGGTATCAGCCGCGCCTCACGACCTCTTCAAGGCGATCGAGCAACCAATCCGTCAGGATCACAATAAGGCTTAGTCTGGGATGAAACAGAGTCTCGACACAAATTGACTGCGTTGATTGATTCAGTGCCATCAAGCAGACGTCGTTGCTGCATACACGCGACCGAATCTCGCCTGGGCTGAGCTCAATCACGAATCAAGCGCTTTCTAGCTCCTCATCTCGCAGACCACGGCTCCTTCGACGCTGTACAAGTGAGAGAGGTCCGAGAGATCAGGCCTGAGCGCACCCTTCACCTGCCACTACCTACAGTCAAAGCTTTCGTCGATAGCTTGAGCCCTACATCACCGCTTCTTCCTGACTTGATCACTGCCCCGGCAAGCTAGTCACACCGACATCGCACTACAACCCTATTGAAGGCGAGCAATTGCAGTACATCCACGCTGTCAGACGCTATCTAGACGTGCCCTTTGCACCAAGCTGCACCTAATCAATCTCTCAAGATGCCTGCGGTAAGTCTCGCGATGGCCAGAGGCAACTGGGCTAGTCACACCAACGTATCGCGATATCGTACTCTTTTCCCTGACAGACCGACGATGAAGGATCGCCTCCACTTCAAGTTGATCCTCAAAAGAGCCCTGAACGCGAAATGCCCGAATTTGTGACGCTCATCAGCTCGGTGCGTTACGATGTGATTCTAAGCTCTGCCCCGCTGCAGCTGATAGTAAGCGTATCGTACGCAACAGGAGGACGACAAGTTCAAAGTGCGCTGGGAGGCGGCTCAAGCGAGCGAGACGATCCGCGCAGCTATGGAAGAGGAAGGCTTTGCCGAGTCGCGCAATGCCGAAATGAGGTTCGGAGAGATTCGTTCGCCCGTTTTGGCAAAGGTGGTGGAGTATCTCAATTGGAGAGACAAATACAAGGATGCAAAGGGCGAGCAGGAGGTCCCTGCATTCCACAAATCCATCGATCCCGAGTTCAGTCTTGAGCTGTAAGTACGCAGCACAGATGCGTCGTTTCAACGAGCCCATTTCAGTCGCCTTCGTATGTGCTCACCTGTCCTGCCCCTTCCACTCTGCCTTGCAGCCTGATCGCAGCAGACTTTTTGGCAATCTGAACTGGAAGCCCAGCAGGGGAGATCCAGACTTGCCCACGCGCGCGCAGCTATCAAAGTACTCGTCAAACGACAAACGCGGGCAGGTGGTGAAGATGCGCCGCACTAAGCTAATCAACAGCACTCACGACTTATGTCGCCAGATTTAGCCAAAGAGACGTAGGAAATGGATATGATTTCGTGATGGGAATTACAATACAGATAACATGAGAGTGCCGAGGAGATAGCATGACTTCAACAAGTGTGAATGCCGTCAACGTCGAGTGAGGCCTATGACGTCATCAATTCGAGTCGGTGACACAGAGGTTTCGAAGTGCCCGTATCGATGGCGTAGAGACTCAGAGCGGGCTCCCCAGGAGGTGACCACACCACGTCGTATACCGGGGATTGGCTGATGCGCTCTTCAAAAAGAGGTTGACCAGTCTTACGCAGGTCAAAGACACGGACGTGCCCCTCTTCAGTGCCTTGTGCAACGAGATTCCGCTGTTTAGCGTGAAAGGCAGGGCGACCCAGATAGGCGGGAGTTCGAGTCGCTTGCCAACCGGCAACGATCACCGGCTTTGAGATCGTTCGCGGAGATCCGCCAGTATCGCAGCGGACGTCGTAGAGTTTAAGCTGCTCATGATCACTTCGCCGCACCGTGGCTATGAACAGATCCGCGTGAAGCGCGTGCGTAAGATGAGCGACAGGATCTTTGCTCGTCCACTGGAATGAAACCGCAGGATGATCATAGCGATAACCGATTAGCTGGTCGGAGTGGGCACCGCCTTGCGACACCATGAGGTGGTGTCTTGGCAGATTCGTCAAGGAAACAACGGGCCCTTCGTGCATGCTGTGCATCCGCTCGACATCTGCTGTGTTCGTGCTGAGCCCGTGCCAGCGCCAGCGGTGGATAGTCCCATCCGAGCCCCCAGTCGCAAAGGATACCTCAGTTGAGCCATATATCCTGATCGGCGCCAAACTTGTAGCTCCAGACATGTGTGGAGTTGGTTTTAGCCACTCAGAGTGAGCGCGCGGGCGACCCTCGCCGTTCGGCATCGCGTACGAAAGGCCTACCTGCCCCGGCAGCGGGCCGAGAGCGGTCGCGTCCGAGCTTGTAAAGCCCATGATACTCGGAGCTAGCCGCTTGACGTCAGAGATTTTCCTGCGCGATGGCGACGATGTCGAAGTCTCGCCATTCAAGTTGGAAAGCGGCCCAAGCGCGTGTTGCGGAGTTGACATGACCATGCTGCCCAGGCGACTGACGAACGCGAGGGTATCATACGCGTGTCGGCTCCTCAAGGCGTGCGCAGCCTGCATCCGAGAATCGAGGGGAATCATGAACATTTGACGCATGGGAAGCCGGCACGATGATCTCGAGCTCAGTTGCATCGCGTTCAGCGAGGGGATGCGTCCATGATTTCTGGCCAAGCCGGCAGCCAGCGGTTCATCATCACTGGAGGGCGCTTCGACCGACGCTGCATTGTGATTGAGAGTAGCACCGTCGTCTCCGCGCATCGCAGCTGACATGCGCTCTACAGCCAGTTCGTCACAACCTCCGGCCACAGCAAGCGAGCTCTCCGGCGGTGGAAGGTGCTCGCGAGATGTTGATACAACAATGTCTATCTCCTGCTCCACCGCCATGGACTCCTCTGGCAAGAGCGGCGGAGGCTCCCGCGATGAAGATCGGCAAAGTCTTTTACGAGGATGTGAGATATCTTCGTGTCTTCGGTCGTGGGCGTCTTCTTGTCGTGCATGGACGTTAGGCGACGCTGGCTTGGTTTTAATCGTAGTGCTTGGATCCCCCGCACGTCGAGCTGCGGCGACTTTTGGATGCGACCCCCTAGCCCCTGGCGATGGAGACCCTCCAATCAAGGGACCCTTGGCCGTAGCGGCGGCTTTCTGCTCAAAGCGTCTTCCGCCTTGAGCTTCAACCTCTTGACCAAGAGACTGCTGCTCTGAATGAACATCGGGAGGTGTTCGCGACGGGTGCGCACCATTGCTGGTCGTTGCAAACCTTATTTCAGAGTCTTCGGAGGCTTTCGAGCCAACTATCTCCATCTCCAAATCCTCAGAGCCGTGTGCAGACATTTCGTCTTCTGCCGACTGCTGCTCTGGATGATCATCAGAAGGTGTTCGCGACAGGCGCGCAGCATTGCTGGTCTTTGCAATCTTATTTTCATCAGAGTCTTCGGAGGCTTTGGAGCCAACTATCTCCATCTCCGAATCCTCAGAGCCGTGTGCAGACATTTCGTCTTCTGCCAACTGCTGCTCCGGACGATCATCGGAAGGTGTTCGCGACAGGCGCGCAGCATTGCTGATCTTTGCGACACTGGTTTCAGAATCTGCGTAGGCTTCCGAGCTGACTAAATCCCTGTCTGAAACCTCAGAGCCGTGTGGAGACATTTTGTCTTCTGCCGAGTCAGAGAAAGCTGGTGAATGCGGACGTACATCTCGGCTGGCTGTCAAGGGGATCCGTTCGGCCAGCGTTGAATCTGGACCTAGAGACGTGGAGTGGACTTGCGGAAGTGATGTGCTGTCCACGCGAGGAGCTCTCATTGAAGAGGATACAGAAGCATTGCGAGAGGCATCGAGAGGATCATTTAAGCTGCCCTTACCTAACGGTGCATCAGGGAGTAACGGCGGTGCCCTCCCATTGTGCTTCTTCCCTCTGTTCGACGCAGCCGCAGCAATGATCGGTGGTTGCGCTAAGTTGGAGGAGTGTGGCGGTAATGATGCTGATTCCTTTGCGCCACCGGATCTCTGAAAGGCCTTCCACATACTTTGGTGAGTAGAACCTGCAACAGTTCGCCCAGTATCGAGTCTGATCGCCGGAGCCATTGGACTATTCTCGCTCCGTAACGGAATGAAGGTCTTTGATTCTCCAGGCACGTAGTCTTCAGCTCTCTTCGCTGGCGCACGTGGCGCAAGAGTGGGGACTCTTGGCTTGGGAGGAGGAGGTGGTGGTCTTGAAGAAGCATGCGTAATGGTATTGGGACGTCCCGGAATGTCGCCATCGTTTGCTGGCTTGCGCGTTCTCGAGGCATCGTGGTTTTGCTGCGAAGGGCCCGCCGCTTCGTGGATTGTCGCCCTGACGGCTTTCTAATTTGAGTATCGTGGCCGACGGAGCTCATCGTCAAACCCACCCACAACAGCCCGCACCATTGCGTGACGATGGACCACTCACCAGAGTCTGATTGTTGCTTCCATGGCTGGCTGGCCACTTCATGTGGATTTGGGGTCGCGCCAGGTTCGAAGAGCGACCGGGACCATTCATTTGCGATCCCAAATGATGGATGGCATTGGGCCCCGCGCCAAAAGACCTTGAGTCGGTCGGCTTGGGTCTGATCGAAGGAGTAGACCGACTTGGAGCAGGAGCTCGACTCGGAAAAGGAGGAGGCCTGAATTTCATATGATGATGTTTCGATCCTTGCGTTACGCTGCCGCTTGCAGCACTCGCTCCAAAATGAGCATTCGGTGAACTCCGCGCACTTGCCGGTCGACCCAAAGGAGCATTAGTGGGAGATGTAGGTGAAGCTGGCGTCCAATGCGCCTCGGCAGGAGTGGGGCTAGCGAAATGTGATTGTGTAGGGCCACGTAAACCCCCTCCGCCGCTGTGGAAAGCAGTCGATGTGGTCGCAGAAGGAGGACGGCTCGGTGAGTTGGAACGATGAGCTCGATTGTTGGCTTTCCCGTGTATACGAGGAGGCTGATGAGACGAGCTATTTGCACCCTGCGAGGGAGGGATAGAGCCCGCATACGGGTCGAACTGAGCGAGCCAGTTCATGGTGAATACGATCAGCAAGTTCGTTCAGAGTGTCTGGACAAGCACGTTATGCACCGATCTTTCGCCTCCGCACCCGCGAACGACATCAAGAGCATGGTGCGCTTGGCGATGCTGGGATGAAATTACTGGTGGAGCTTCTCTATAGTGATGGATACTGAGATACGCGTATGAACTGATGATCAAGAGCGAAAGTTGGTTGGAGAACAGCGGAGGGATACAGGGCGGCCATGACTGGCATGTGTGTTGTTGGTGGCCTCTAACAAAGTTCCACCCTGAGTGATCCAGACTCACGACTTGAAGTCTTGAGTCAAAGACCACAGTCGTGAATCACGTGAATGCACCTGAGTTGTCAACTTTTGACGTGGAATCAGCAAGAAGAGAGGCCAAATCGGCGGTCACGTGACTGCTCACCTCCCAGTCAAAGATTGATTAAAGATCGGAGATTCATTTTGATTTCAAAATTTTCGATGAGTGTCGATCATTCAAATCTTCATTTGGGTTCTGATGGAATAGATTCTTTGATTTCGTAATTCTTCGTTCAAGATTCGAGACTCTCTTTTGATCGATTCATGGTTTCTTCAAGATTCAAATCCTCCATTTATGATTGAATCTTGAATTCAAGATTCAAGATTCGCACAGCTCTTTTGAAACACGTGAATCGTGAAATCAAGATCAAGAGGCGGTGCAACGAGCATGAAGCGACGCGCGTCAGGCGCTTCGATTGATGGTTTGTTGATCCGTTCACCAGCGTCTGTGCGGAACGTTGTCGAGCTCGACTACCAAGTTTCGCGACTCCCAGTTGTTCATGCTCACATGACACAGAAGCCCCATTCCTCGCTTTCGACGACCTGCCCCCGTGATCTGGCCGAGATAGGCTGGAAGTTGCTCGCGATTCGCAGTCTCCCTCGCCTCTTCTTCGCCCGCACCAATTGATTGAGACGGCTAGGTCTGAACGCAGGCTAGCCACGCGACTCGACCTTTTGAACAAGCACCGAGGATGGCGTCCAGTCAGGAAGCGCAGACGCTACTTAGCGTGATGCACCATGGTCAGTGGAGCTTCCAGCTAGTCTGCCCACTTCTGATTGATGCTGACCAGTGCTGCTCTGAAACGCATTCCAGAGCGACAAGAACCGGGATCTATGCTGTGCGCACAGCATGCTCTGAATGCGCTACTTCAGGGTCCTTACTTTGATCCTTCTCAGCTGGCAGGTGTGTTCAGGCTTCGTGCACTCTTAGGCGGAGACCGCGCTTTGCTGGCTGACTGTCTTGCCGTTCGTCTCAACCACAGAGATCGCCGCGCAGATGGATGAGCTAGAACGAGCGCACCTAGACTCCCAGGCGTGGTCGTCGCGGGGCAGAGATGAAGGCAGCCTCAATGTTGATGCTACGGGTCAGTACCAGAAAGGGGACAAAAGATAGGTATTGCTAGCTGATCGCACCATGCCAACTGCTCAAATCAACCTCGCACATCCTCACTCTTGTCGCAGGCTTCTTCAGCGCCACTGTATTGGAGAACGCGCTGTCTGTATGGGGCTTACAGCTCGTGCGCTGGCGATCTCAAGCGATGAGCGCTTTCCAAAGCCAGCCTGAGAAGCAGCTCGCTTTCATTCTCAATCTGGAACAGCATTGGTTTTGTCTACGTCGCTTCGGACCGGGCTGGTGGTAAGTCCTTCTTGAGAATGCCGCTCCCTACCGCCACTGCAGTGGCTGAAGTGGACATTCGACGTCGCGTCTCTGTTAGGTTCAATCTCAATTCTTGCATAGATGCGCCAGCGTGGGTAGGCCCGTCATATTTGGGGGCACTGCTCGACCAAGCGGAGTCTGAGGGTGAGCCTTGACCTGGGATGGATAACCCCTCTCAAATCACGTTGCTCATACTACTTCTCGCTTGCTTGCCTGCACAGGCTATTCCGTCTTCGCCATCGTCGCTGCGGAGGATGCTGTGGGGGTGCCACTGTCTACAAGTCCAGCGGACGAGGTTGCGCAGACACTTCCCAGCGCTGATGTAGTGCTCGCTTCAAACGCCAGTTCCCCTTCAGCCATCACCAAACAAGCGCAGGGTCTCCGGCCTAACAGTGAAGGCGGTCCGTCCGTAAGCTCAGCTTCACGCGATACTTTCGAAGAGGATGCTGAGCTTCAAGCAGCCCTGCGCGCAAGCATGCTTGACGCGAGCGAGGGTGATGGCCCGGCAAGTGTATCAGTGGATACTGCATCTACCAGTCAATCTCCGGCAGCGCCAAGGGGCACACGGCGCAACCGGAGTATCAACAGCGCGAGTGAAGAAGAAGGTGGCGTCTCGCAAGATGAGACGGACGAGCACGTCGACGAGATCGCACCGTCGAGAAGACGTTTCCGAGCGGACGACACTTTGCGGAGTTCGTCGAGCACTCTTCTTGCCCCAACGGACTCTGCTGCCCGGCCCAGCACCAGCAACCGCCGACCCTCTCGAGCCGATCAAAAGGACAAGGCGGCTCGCCAAGGCGAAACAAGCCGTGCTGCGATCGATCACGACGAGCAAGAGCTTATGAGAGCTATGGAAGCAAGCTTGGGCGCGATGACAGGCAACCAGCAAACAGTCGCCCAGAACTTCACTTCATCCTCCACAGGCACCTCTGCTTCGGCATCTCGACCCACGCGTGCAATCGACATCGGTGGTGCAGGTGTTCGCGGCAATGGTGGACGGCGACGAAGAGCGCGCGGAGGTGGCGGTAGAGAGGACCCTATAGCGATCGGCTCAGATGGAGAGGAGGATGAGGAAGAAGTGATCATTTCTCGGTCTAATCCCAGATCTCCATTCTTGGATCCTCTGCTAGCAGCCGCATCTCGAGATGACGAGGATGTAGCTGACCTCGACGATGATGAGGACGAGGGAGATGATGATGCAGGGCCGCTTTCTAATCCGGAACGAAGGCAACTTGGGGTCGGTGAGGAGGAGGATGACGAGGATGCATTTCATAGTCTGTCGGAGGGAAGTGAAGGATTTGAAGAAGTATCAGCTTCCGCCTGGGCTCGTGCACGGCCTGCTGGTCCCAGCACGAATAGAACCTACGATGATGAAGATGCGGATCTGCAACGAGCACTGGCCGCCTCGATGCGCGACGTCGAAGGTGGGGGTGATGATGTGGACTGGTCAGCTTTCGAATGGCAAGACGATGGAGGTGTCTCGACGAGGAGGCAAGAAAGACCCAGTACGCCTGAAGATGTCGGACGCATCAGAAGGTTGCGCGAGGAGGCGAAGAAGAAGGCCGAGGAGGAGAAAGAGGACGAGGAGAGGAGACAAAGGGGCGAGGCGACCAGGGCTGAGCTGGCTGAGAGAGCTGCCAAAGAGGCACTCGAGGGCGCCAAAGGTGGCAAGGAAGATGATGATTCTGAGGAGGAGGAAGAGCAATTGAGCCCTCAGGAAATGAGGGCGAGAAGGATGGCTCGCTTCGGCGGGCCGTAGGGGCGTGAGCTCGCATACCAATCGGCCTGCAGCGCACGCCGTTGATTAAGACGAACCATTCAGACACGCATCTCACATATCCTAGCGAATGAGATTTCATACTTGCATCGTCGCGAATGCATGATTCGTGAGTCGCGAATGCATGATTCGTGAAGGGTATGTACAGGTCTCGAATGAAGCTGCTGGGGCTGTTGTGGGACGGCTTCATGGTTGATTTGTGATCGCCTGCCGACTATCCGCACAACGCAGTCTGGACTTTGCTGAGTCGCACATCATCTCAGCACCTAAGCCTTGCTTGCTGGCTGGTAAGAGGGAGGGGGTGGTCCGGGTGGAGGTGCGAAAGATCCTCCATTGTCGCCCGGAGGCGGTCCTTCTGGGGCTTTGTAGCCACCTTCGGGTGGGCTAGTGGGTGGCTGGTAAGCGCCGCCAGCAGGCGGGTAGCCCGAGTTCTGATATCCGTATTGGTTCTGGTTTTCTTGACCGTAGCCTGCTCCATAAGCATTGTACCCTTGCCCCGCTCCCTGACCTTGAGGTGCATATGTGGAGTTGTACCCGCCTGCTGCGTACGGGTTGCCACCACCCTGTTGCTGATTGTAATCCAATGTGGGCTGCTGCTGCATGTTGTTCGAGGGTCGGATGAAATAGCCTTGTTGCCGCTTTCTCCTGCCAGCCACGCTGCACAGAAGGATCAGGATGATGATAAAGACAGCGATTCCAATACCTGCGATTGACAGCAGAGAGGCAGTAGGGAATGTTCAATGAACAAAACGCCCATGCAAATGTGTCTGGGCCTCTTGCCCTCGGCGCCTCGCTTGTTAAACGTCAAAAGCGAAGATTGTACGCACCGGTACCGATTCTAGCGCCTCGGGACCACCTGGAGCATTCATATACCCTTCCTAAAAATGCCGCGAAGTGAGGATTGATCAGTCATGATGAATGACTCAGAAGCAGGAGGCCAATGTTGGTCCATACGTGAACTTACCAAATCTGTCTCTGCAATAATCTTGCCTGCGCTCCAAAGTATGGAGCTGTTCGGTGGCCAGAGAGGCCGCGCGCTGCACCAAGGAAGGCATCGTGTCGATGACAGAGTGGTCA